GTTCTGATGTGCAATAAACATGTTAAGAACCACCTACATACATTGGTCGACAAGGACAGCATGTGCCATTTGTAAGACATCTTAACGTATCTATACCGTTCCGAAGATTTTTGTACCGTACCCGCATGCGGAGAACACTAGTCGATGCAGAAGCGACCAGAATGCCACATACATTATTTAAAATGTTATATTTAAAAATTTTTACGATCACAAAAATATGCGTAAGCTGTTCTACATACATAGCGTTATGCATAATTATAAATAGAACAAATAATAGAGGTACGAGGGCGGGATGATAAATAGCTAGCCTAGCATAGAAAAAATTGAATTAGTGTGTTAAAAGTATATTTATCTTTCGACATCCCAAGTAGCACAAAACACCATTATATCAAACTTATAATAGCACGAGTCCAAGCGTTAAGCATTATAATAAAATCGTATATCAACCGTATTTCTTTTAAACGACTCTTATACATAAAATTTGGGCCCCCCCTTTGTACGACTTTAAGCTTTATAAAAGCTGTGCAATAGCACTACAACTTTTGTATAATAGCATTAATAAAGTCGGGTAAAAGCATTCTAATAGCCACAAAAAGTTCAATTAGCACCTTAAAGTGCTAATTGAACTTTTTGTGACTATATTACAATTGATATGCGTAAATCAAAATTATAATACGTTAATTTAATATTATAAAAATGCTTACTGTTTTATTTCCTTTGTAAAAAAGTATATTTAATAGATTTTAAAAACATATAATCGGTTTAAATTATTGTTTTGTGTAAGTGTCATGACATGTTCTCTTGGCTGGTCTTTTAAGTATTTTTGAATATTGATTTAAACAGCTCGTTTTGTGTGAAATAAGCTGCACACATCAGTTTGTGGAGTAAAATATACAAGTTTATGGTGTAAAATACACGCGCCTTCGCAAACTTCCTTTAATATAATAAAAATAATAAAAAATTTAACCTAGTAGCAAAATTTTTTGTTGAATTTTAGGCTTTTTAGCATTGTTTTAACAACATAATTGCTTTTAAAGGCATCTGTGCACAAAATAAATGATTATTTACCCCTTTTCATCTGACACAGTTGACTTTAAATATTTTGTAAGAATTGGAAAAAGAAAGCAAATGGCGACTCGTAAAATTAAAGCATTAGGTATTCAAATATGGTGTAGTAGAGCTGTTAATCGTATTATGGTTAGACACAAAACTAAGAGCTCGTAATTCACCGTATAACACACTCCCATTTTAGTTACAGCCGTATTTTTACACTTCAGAAGTATCTTATAGTGCTTATAATCATCAAACGATTATTTCATTTTTATTTTGATTTTTAAAAGCTTCAATTAAATTAGAATACTCTTTTTTCAGTTTTCATTTATATCCACCTGTTTTCTTTGTTTTTCCCAACGTTTTTTGTCCATGGCGCCAGCGATGCGTATAAAATGCCACCATTACAATACAATACATAAAATAATTTTACATTTTAATTTCACATAAAAAATAATTACGATCTATTTATTACTTCTATCTCTATAAATAACTTAATATTGATCAAAATATAGCTTAATGTTTTATAAAAGCATAGATTAAGAAGATAAAGGAGCTTGAGCTTGATTAAAGAATACTTTAAGAACAAATCGGTGCTAAAGTTTTACTAGTTCTTTATTCAATGTGTATATAGGATAAGCATTAAATCGATACAACCATAGACCATTAGAAAACCTTTGTTTCTAGAAAATGACTAAATACAACTAAGTGCACTAAATAGTATTACGTTAATGCTTATATAATATATAATGTTTTTCATATCACCGAAATACGATAACAGCTTTATATTAATATTACCCAATACTTAAATAGGAGTTTTGACATTGGTATACTTTTTTTATTAACCATAATATGGCATTAAGCATTATTAGATAAAATAAATGCCTTTAAACAGATTCGAAACTTGACCAGAGCTGATTAAAAATGTTAGTATGACTTTAGCACATAAATCGGTACTTATTTTAGTTAATATATTATTTATGTGCTACTTGGGATAGTCTCCTTGAAGCGCTATGCACTTAATCCATCTATGCTCTAAAGCCTTGATGCCATCCCTGAAGTGGTTTTCTTCAAGCCCTTCATAATAACTGTCCACGGCAGACATCTCGCTATTATTTTCAAATCTTTGTCCACCTAAAAAATTTTTGAGCTTAGGGAATAGATGAAAGTCACATGGTGCCAGATCAAGAGAATAAGCTGGGTGTGGTAGCAAATCATAATTTAATTCTATGAATTTCGCCATCGCAGTGATGCACGTCTGAACGCGCGCATTATCCTGATGAAAGTTTTTTTTTTTTAGCCAGACCGGGTCTTTTTTCACGAATACACACTTGCAATTTATCCAGTAGATCAGCATAACATTCGCCATTTATGTTTTGTCCTTTTGGAAGGTAATCAATCATCAATATACCCTTCGAATCCCAAAATACTGACGCCATGACATTCCCCGCTGATATCACGGCTTTTGCTTTCTTTGGAGCCGGGGATCCTTTTTCCGTCCATTGTTTAGACTGAATTTTTGATTCAGGTATATAGTGGTGAACCCAAGTCTCGTCTGTAGTAACAAACCGTCGCAGAAAATCAGTTGTATTGCTCTTAAAGCGGTCCAAACATTCTTGTGAACGCGTTTTTGGTTAACTGTAAGCGATCGCGGCACCCACCTTGCGGATAATTTTTTCATACATAATCCTTGAGTCAAAATATAATGCGCCCGTTCTTTAGAGATGCCAACAGTATCAGCTATCTCGGAAAGTTTCAATCTTCGGTCAGCTAAAACTGCATCATGAATTTTGATCACAATTTATGGAATAGTGGCACTTTTTGGACGTCCTGGACGATGTTCATCTTGGGTGCTGGTACGGCCACGTTTAAATTCAGCCACCCAATTTTTTATGGCATATGAAGGAGCATTATGTCCCAAAACATCCTTCATCTCCGAAAAAATCTCTCCACCTTTTAATCCTTTTAAATGCAAAAACTTTATCACAGCTCGTAGCTTAATATCCATTTTGCAGAAAAAACAAAAGAATGCTTTTTGAAATGTCAATATTTAAAAGAAAAACTATAAGATCGATTTGAAATTTGGAACACTGGCAGCTAATGAATGAGTAAAATACTAAGGAGATTTTATATCGTTATTATACAAAATATGGGTTGGGCTAGCTATTTATCATCCCGCCTACGTATATCTTTAACCCTCTATCGGATTTGGTAGCTGGACGTTTTTAAAGACAGAAAATAGTATTAAAAATATCGATACTTTTTGATTAGGTACAAATTTATTATTATAATAGTTTATTTTATTAAATGGATAGGGAACCAATCTCAATAAATAATTTCAACAGAAAAAATAAGATAACCAAACTAAAAGAGCTAATATTTAACCAATTATATTTAATAGATGCTAGTGAAATGAAACCACTGAAAAGATTATATATTCGAAAAAGCTTTTTTATTTTTATTTATTCACTTATACCATAAACACAGATATATTATCGAAACAAAAATGTAGAAATATCACAAACTAATAGCTATATCTTGGTTAATATCATCAATGAGTTGACAACTATCTCCTAATGCTTATTAAATATTTACGTAGAAGCAGGAAATTTTACAAATAAAATAAATAAAACAGAAGTTATTAAAATATAACAATTTTTAAAAGGAATCACCTACTACGTCGATTTTTTTAATTTAAAATACAACAATAATAATAATTAAACTAATATACTAAAAAATAATATGAAAAAAAAAATATGATAACCAAATATTTCGAATTAAAGAGAGCAAAATAATATTTAAGAAAATCTCTTCTACCTACATCTTTACGTATTCTATTTATACGTGTCTAACTCTAAACGAAAAAGATCACAGACATTAAATGTCTTAGAAATGAATATAAAATCTAATAAAATGTCACATTAAAACAAAAGCGAAGATATGCCGCCGAACTGAGAGAATTTCGTACATTGACCTTTATACCTACTGATAGATATCGTAAACATTTTTACTGTGAAAAAATTGACCACATGCATCTGTGCGAGCGCAATAGCAATATTTTTGCTCACGAGCGAAAGAGATGTAATGTGACCCCACATCACATTGTACGAAATGCATTCTGTTCGGCGACTTTGCTATAAGCTCCTTATATAGGAGTTTACATGAGAGCGGCAAAGTGTACAGACGTAGGTATATAAAATTCTTGTCTCATTTTATATCTACCCGAAGTAACAATAGTTGTTAAAGAATGTGCAAATTGCAAAAAAAAAAAGCTATTGGTAAAAAGTACCCGGATAAGAAATTATAGTTCATCCTCCGTCTCGCTCGCTCGAGTGACGTATGAAGATTAAACTTATAAAAGGCATTGTGTCAATGCGATTTGGACATTTTCGGTACGAGTACGCCACACCTTCCGTTTTCGTTTTAATGAAATCTAGGCAATATTTTAATCTCTAATTCATTTAAAAATGGTGTCTAAACCATTTATACAAAACTACCTAGCGGCTACTCTAATAATACTCTATAATCTATATTAACAGAATGTTTATTTTTCTTTCCAAAAATAAAATAATAGCAACGGATAGCTTTTTAGCTATAGAACCATCAATTTGATATGTCAAAAAGAATTCGGGAGTTATGCAATTACCAATAACAATACTATTATCATTAGTAAAACTAATAAACTTACCAATAAAAATACGAGAATCATTGGTAAAACTCATTATAATAGTATTGTTATTGGTAACTCCCGAATCTTTTATATTACTATTTTCATAGAAAATTGCAACAGCGCTACACTACGACATTCACTGAAAATCTCAAAATTATTTCAAAAACTAATATTTAATTATACTTATAAATATCGATAGAACGAAACCGCATATAAAACATGGATTATAATTATTGGATATGGATATGGCTTCGGCTTGTAGGCAGATAGAGATGGGTGATTAAATTTTTTTCCTCCGCTTTTCTGGCGTCGTTTGGAACATGGCCTCGTCTGCACGAATCAGCCGGTTGACCGCCCGACTCAATGACACATCTGTTACCAGAAAACAGAAACATCAACTCGGATATGTCCACCAAACTAAATATGTATTAAGATGGCATTATAATCGTCAATACGAGTATATAACACGTATCTATCTATACCTATCTTAAAATTGGCATATCACAGAGCACATCTAAAGTATAAATACTGTATATGGTAAGCAGATTGTGTAAATTTAATCACCCATTGCAAGCCAGATGCATAATGTTAGTTTTCATTATATTGTAGTGGTTAGAAAATGAAACGATAGGAATCAATTTTGAAAAATCTTTAATGTGATAGAATTTTAACAGTCCACTTACTTTTTAATACATTCATTATAAAACGGGGAATGTGCGAAAAACAATTCTGTAACATGCTCAATTTATAATCAACAAACTATATGACTTAAAGTATTTACACGGTTTTTCGCATATTCCCAGTCGATTGCGTAATACGAAATTGTACTTATTAAAGGCAGCATCAATATAAAAGTTCAAAAATAATATAATTTCAAATAAATCGAATGAAAGTAAGTATGAATTAATCTAAAAAAAAAAATTAATACTAGTAAGAATACATTCATTCTACCCATTATACCGATTTTATTCTATCTATATTGTATAAAACTAATCATGTGATTTATTTTTAAGCTGTATATATTACCAAATGAATCTTCATCAGGCACTTATTTCATTCAATTGTATTATAAATACATGTATTTAAAAAAAACATTCTATCAACTGAGCAAAATAATTTATGGATAGTATGTGATGTCAAAACATTCAAACATACATTAATACATTACTTTAAGTACATTAATTGTATATTATTGCCTCACAACATCAACTGAAAGTAATACTTAATAAATTATTCATTGATCTACTTAAAAGCTTTCGACAAATAAATATGTTTATAAAGTAAATGATTAACTAATCCAATATAACGAATTCAGTCCAACAATTCATTTATTGCTGTCGAAGAGCAAATCTAAAAGGAAATATTATCTAATTCCGATGGTTTTAAATAATAAAAATTGGACTAGATCATACTTGTACAGTGATTTGTTTGCGACAACACAAACGTGAAATATCATAAGATCATACAAAATAAGAAACATAAATAATGTGAAATGATGTGAAACTTTAAAACTATGCCAGACTTTATTGGGGAACTTTAGGGTACCTAGTATTTGGAAGAAATTCACAATCGGTAAGGACTGCTCTTTTTCTTCTTAACAGAGTTTTTCCACCACAATGCACTTTCCATAATTCAGATTTGAAAAAAGACATAACCCGTATTAATAAACACCCGAGTACCTATTCTACTTGTTATCGAACAGAAGACCAGAAAATTTTCTTATAATTTTGTTAAAACCATAACTGTGAAAATTATCTGTGCTTCAGAGGCACGGTCAGGCTCCACATCTCCACAAATAGAGCTCGTCCTACTCAGCAGGCTGGACTGTTAAAGGCTGATGAAGATGAATTTCAAATCATTCATAAACCCACAAACAGTATCTAAAAATATCCCTTAAGGTCCCCAAACGACTAACGGCGTAGCCAAAATAAATCAATGAAGGTAACAATAAAGACTATTCACTAATATTGTTTTTAGTTCTCTATCCTTTCAATTTGCAATAAAAACATGTATGAAAAAAATATATTATGATGCATCGAGTACTTTCAGAGTTTTAGAAATAAGCGTGACATCATAATCCAACGCTATTCGTAATGTGTCTTGCAGTACTTGCTGCAAACTGCTTATTAAAAACATTTGCATTTTTTTTTTTTGTCACATATTAGAAAATTATTCAGCCATTCTAGGATATGACGCTACACTGAAGTCAATCTGCAAGTAGTACATGATGTTACAGGAAACAACCTTCCCACCAATTAAAACGCTACTTATTGCCGTTTCGGCGGATACTAATTCTACAGTAAAACACTACCAATACGGCTTGTGTTAATTTAAAAAAAAAATGAAGCACTTTTTTTTTTTTTTTTTCAGTATGGACTTGTTCCGTTATACACGGAAATTTTGCCAACATCCCGTAGTGAATGAAGCACTTGAAAGGCAATTACAATAGTTCAAGTAGCGCGTTTTTGAAAACCTCACGCCTGTTTTCCACTGAATTAACTTAGAACCAGACTTTCTGTGTTGTATTTTACAACTAATAGTTATTAAAGGAAGATTGAAATAGGGAAGTTACGGCAATGAAAAATAATTATAGTAATTGATTATGTCAAAAAATTGGACAAATTTAAAAATTTGAGTCAACTTATTAAAAGTAGAGCTCTTGTATCACATGACCTAAAACATGATCCGACATAGTGTAGAATAAACCGATAAACACATTATTATTCAAATTAGCCGGCATTTAATTAGGAACACTGGCGCATAAGATGGCGCCGTTCTTATCTGATAGATATATAACTCAATGCGTATGTTTTGTTTACATACCGATACGACATCATGAATATGACGGCCTGTGTTTCCGCCGAGTTTGTTGCCGCAAAAATGTTGTGTCTTAATAAATTAAAATAAACGTTTACAATTACTTGTTAAGAGTAACACTACCCTGTTAGTAGATCTTCTTCGCTCCACGCCATATTATTCACGTTTTACTGTAGTACACTATTTAAAATACCGCAAACGAGCGAAACCGTGAGCGAAACAACTAACGTGACGCACCGATGTAGCTGCACATAAGACTAATATCCGAAGCTTGGCAAATCCTGGCCAAATGATTCAAATAGCACGCCTAGTCCCTGCTGTGGGACTGAGACTTTACATTGAATACCTTATACTTGTTTCAACAAGACAAAACAAGTGTGTAAAAATATATTACAACTTGCTAGAAAACTTTAAGAACTTTATCTTAACTTAAAACATGAATTACACAATGGCTTAAACAAAAATGTTTTTATTGTGTCAAAAAATATTTAGACCACAGACATACAATTTGATACTTTACTTAATCATACCTTTGTTATATGATTTATATTAAATTATAATTGATTATTTTAATGGAAATTCAATAGATATTGCTAATTGTTACATATAATATTATTATAGTCGTTTGAATATTATATATATATTTAATATCATTTTTGAAAACTTTTTCATGCTATTTGTAGCGAAATTTACTGGACTTTTCTTTTAATATCGTAATTGTATACCGCATTTCTAGCAAATAAATGTGATTTGATTTGTTTCTTTATACATTTTAATTGTGCATCAGCCATCATTAGAATTGCCATGCGCCGTATTAGTTGAATTTTACTGTACGCCACTATAGCAGGATCATCAAACAGGAAGAATTTCGTACAATGACCAGGTATTACATATCTCTTTTATTCGTGCGCAAACATAATGCTATTTCGCTCGCACAGATGCACCTTGCCAATTTTGTCACAGTAAAGTGAACCTAAAATGTTTACGACATCTAACAGTAGGCACAAATATCAAAGTACGTTCTTTCTGTTCGGCGACCGTATTCTAATCCGTCATGTTGGACACTATGCTAACATTTTTTTTTTTTACCAACCGGGTGTAGTATTGGCGAGTCGACGCATGCGCCTTGTGTTACGATCCTGTGCGCGGATCTTCTTCTCCATCTCTGCGTTAGTGAGGGTCTCGAGATGAGGAGCCCACTGTTCAGCTTCCAAAGCTTGACGATACGGCGTCTAAAGAAATAATATAATAATCTAAACAAATAAGTTAACATTAGATTTATCTAGATAAAAATGTGTTGCTATGCGCAAAACTCGAGAACGGCTGTTTGCTAAAGTCTGAGGAAGGTTCTTATGGAGAAAAATGTGAAAATTCGAAAAAAAGTAAAATATAATAATTCTTTTTTCCCATACAAAACACTTTCCCAGCTGCCAAACATTTGACATCAATCAAAGCGAATCAAAATACCTCAATGACTGGCAGTGGTGCTTCACTGAATGCATATGTTCTCTGATGCCAGCCGAGCTGACCGCGCACACTGTACGCTATACCGGTGACGAATTCGCCACCCAATCCCAACTCGGCGCAAAGTTTCATAGCAAACTGTTCCGGGTTATTCTCCTTCTCAGACATATCCCATTCCACCTGCAAACACATTTTAATATAAATTATACAAAAGTAATTCAAAGTATTCCTAATCAACAAAATTGTTTCAGATATCTTCAACAATTGTTTATTTGACAATTATAACAATAATATTATATTTAAACAATTTTAAGAAACAAAGTACATTAAATTACTCAAATAAGTCAAATTAAATTACTATTTATAATCTGCGCATTACAAGAATCATATCGTGGGCGGCCATGTCGGAGCATCGTGACGTCACATTTCAATAAACTAAACATCTTTGTTGCAAATGGAACTTATAGTTTATTGAAAAACCATGTTTTTTGAAATATGACATCACTGTCACTTCCCATGAGGGAAAAAATTCTTCAAGCAATGTCAGTAATGTTGATGCTTCTACAGATTTCTTTGTTCCTAATAATTACCCAAGCATTTTTCGTTCCTAAAAACTTACCTGATCTACTAAAGATGTATTTCCAACATGTATATTCAACTTGATAACTACGCGCTGGTCAGACTGCTCTTCTAGTATAGCTGGCGGTTCACTTGGAAACTGCTCTATCTGTTGCCTAATGGATGTAGCTATGGCCGGGATAAATGTTGAAGAGTTCAATTCTAAGTCGTCACAGAGCACTTCAGCAAATTGCTCTGGGGTTATTATGGATTCTGCAATCAAGAAAAAAAGATTAAACTTTGTTTACATTATTAAAATGAGCTTGCTACTGGTCTCAAGCCTAGAAAATACTATACTGCAGGCTCTTATTATAAAACCGTTATTAAGTTTCTACTTGGTATAAAGCCATTGGCTGCCTAAAGCAAGATATGACAGAAGTGGAAACATTAAATTGTGACTTACTATTTTATAGGATAATAGCTTAAACTTGCTACTAAAATTAGTCCTCATTTTATAATAAGACTGGTTGAGGTTAAGCTGGCAGCATGGTATCGTCTTTTCCCTCGCCCTATACTTTTCAGTAGCTCAGAACCACCATTTGAGCGGTTAAAAGATCGAACGTATATAATAAGCACGCCGTAGATTACTTGAGGCGATTGGCAACGCGCAATTTTTCTCGCAGTACATGCACTAATAATATAATTGGTCAATAGTGCAAGCAAGTAAAGTGCGAGTCTTATTAGCCAATGTAACTCAGCAATATAACTAAGGTAAAAAGACTTAAGACTTGTATAAATGACGTACATTCACAGATTCTGTTGATATTATTGAAATAGTCCAGTGATAGACTTTAACTACAAGAAAGTGTTGAAGAAGTAGCATCAGAGTTCTACTTAATTTTCAAACATGACAGCCCCAAGGCAGAACAACGAGCGACACTGCAACATTGTCGCAGACAGCCGAGTAGGTCTGCAGTCTTACATAAATAAAAAAATTACACTAGCAGAAACAGAATTTTATTTTCAGGTTTTTATAAGCTGTCGCAGACAGATCAAAACCCTTCTGCTATGGGGCATGACAGTAATAAGCAAGAAGACATTAATGAATTGAATATTTTACTCATAAATTAAGAAAATATTTACCATTTTTATTCCAAGTAAATGTATCTCTTAGCTTTTGGCCTTCAATCTCTATATCGAGTCTAATAGGCACAAGGATTTGCTTTTGGGATGAATTCTCCAACATTGCCGTCATGTCTGTATCATCAAAGCACAATGGAAATGTTCGCACCTGAAAAAGAATAGTCATAAATTACTGTTTTTACTACAATCAGTTGAGTAGCACATACTACTCATACAAATTAATATGACACCTAAATGCCAGTTCTATTTCACCTTAAACAAAATTTTGTCTATTAGTGAAATGCTAATAAAGGCCTTTTTTAGATAATTTATGATGCAATGGAGGCAAGACCCGACACTGCCAAATATGCACAAATAATATTCACAGATATAAGTTTAACTAAATTATAAGAATGATTCCAAATTTTAATAAGAGAACAAATAGAAGAGGGCCCAGGTGTCATGTTTAATATACTGACACCAGTTTTCACTAACCTAGAACAAGGCATAGCTTAACTAGGAAACACCTAATATTACAAATTGCTTAAGCAGATTAGTTTAATTTCAAATAAATATTTTCTTATTTTATCTCTTCACATATTGATGACCTGTCATATACAGAAATGTACATAAATATCTAGCGCAAGGCGCCGTATAATGAATATCATAACTTTAGACAATGCTTAATTTGGTTAGATTCCTAGTCAATGGTGAAACGCATTTTACCTTAGGCAATTCCTAAATATTTAGGCAACTCCTAGTTTAATTTTTAGTTAAAGTTTAGTGAAAACAGGCATGATTCTGATAATGCTGTTGATTATTTCGAACCTCTTAAAAACAAAACTTACCTAAAAACTAATATTAATTTAGTTTTAATGTAAATATAAATATTTGTTATCATCATATACAAAAATATAAGTTTACGTCTGTGATCTTAAATAAATAAAGCATTGAAAATTCAGTTAATGAGAATTTAATCACCTTATTTCCTTACAGAAGAATAATTAGAATGTTTACCAACTTTATAAGAAACTGACATAAACAATTTTTATTCTATTGACTATAATGTTTGTTTGCTAGCTTAATGCTTGATTTCTTTGCTTAGTTCTTATTATGCATTATAAAATAATAGGAAATATATGCATAATTTAAGCCAGCACTACAAATCGTGTTTAATATACCAATATCAATAATCACACTTTAATGTTTACAATATATATGTATTATTGCATTCATTGCAACACCAAGTCAGAAGTGGTGAACTTGTGGAAAAAGGAGAATGGGCAATTTACTATGAGAGATCGGCTATTTTTGCATAACTGTGCACATTGTTGAAACCAACGGTAAACGATAGAGAATTATTTCTAGAATGAGTAGGAAAAAAACCATTTTAAAATTATGCCGTAGTTTGAGAATATCTGAATGTTTAACAGAGATTTTGAGGTTATGTCGTTATAATATCTACATATACAGCGTGTTTGGTAATACCTGTATAATCCCGAATATGGCACATACGGTATGATGAATAGAACCCAGAAAAATGATCACTAAGACTGAAACCCAGCACATGACCTAGATATTCAGCTTTTTTTCTTCGAAGTAAAACTGTACGCTGACAACCCTAAAAACAGCTGTTGTGTTGTATTTGGTCATCGACTCCATGTGCCGAACTAGTTTAAAAAATAACAGAAGTTAAATAAATCTAAAGATAAATGCCTAGAATAAATATGCATCTGAGAGGAATTTATTATTTCCAAACAAAGAAAAAGTTAGTAGTAAATGACTTTTAACTATAAAAAAACACTAATCTTGTGATTAACGGTGTTTCAAAAACTATTAATATGAAAACTTCTGTAATAATACAGTCAAAATAAAAAAGAAATTGCAAATACTTTGATTGAAGTTCAATATCTGCACCATTGCTCACATTAGTCTATGCAAGAAGGAGCGAGAGAGACATAAAATCGACGACGATGTGTATTGAGAAACTCGGGTTTCTGATGTGTCAGTAAGGTTCTGTAGATTATTTGCTTTGAAGTTTTGTTATTTTTTTCATAAAGCCGTGTTATTTTCACGAAACAATAAAATACGGACTTATACAATGATATTAATAATCTAAGTATCTCTCTTATTCTTAGTTTAAATGATAATTAAATAAAGGTTAGTTGTAATGGAAAGGTCTAATAATAAATAATATTTCTTGACGCGGAACCCCAAAATCGGTACACTTTTGATTTAGGTACATTGGTGTTCGAGTTGCAATAATAATAACCTATGTAGTTTTGGTCATCGCGTCAGTCGCGTCCGTGACTTTCATCGGCGTACTTGTGAGTTTTCAGAATTTAGAAGGTCAACTTACGTTTTCGTTCTTTCGGGACTTTTGGTTTGTTTTTCATTCTCGTTCTGTTTACCTGTGTATTATGTTTGTGTGCGGTCAGTGCAATGAATTCGTACTCAAATGCCTAATATTACGAGATGATAATGTGTGGCGGTGCTTGTGACGGTAATCTTGCTGCGGCTCGGCGGCGTTATGACGAGCGCCACGTGTCAGGAAGACCTGAAAACCATCGACGTCTTCCTTCTTACCGGTGATTCGCGGCATTTGTGAATTGGTTACATACAACTGGTTCATTCCATAGTGTGCCACAGGTAGGCCGGCCGATCACCTATTCCATCGAGACAGAGGATATGACTTTACGTCGAGAGTAACACGACACGGTCTGTGTCAAGTCGAATGGAGATGTGTGTTTTATGCGGTGGCCGGCATATCGAGACCCTGGACTGATAAAGTGGAGGTGAAGTGTAGGTAATGTTGACAAGTGAAAGCTGAAAGAGATTAGAACGCTATAGGTATGTACCTATTTAATCTTAAATTGTTTTAATTACAAGTAAACTCATACGTAGTCGAGTGCGCGCGTCGGCAACATCAAAATGTATTCAAGGAAACGAGAGAGTGAGAGGTAATGAGAGAGAGAGAGAGAGAGAGAAAGAGCGAGTGCGCCGGGACGGCACGTATAAGCTTACAGGGTTGTAGCATAGTAATTGAAAACAAATTGTTCAAATATTTGTATGAAAATATCAATTTACATGAAATTGTTTTTTGACCTATCAATTGTGTTCTTTGTGCTAGGTTGTATGGCCATGTTTCGGGATTATACAGGTATTACCAAACACGCTGTATAAGAGCAATAAAATGAATAATGTATTTCAAACAATTGATGTATTTCAAACAATCGACAGACATAAATATTTTATTGCGAAAAAGGACATATCTATACTGAAAAAAGGAAATATTAGATTTTTTATTGTTAACGATAAACTCAAAAACAACTAGGTCAATTAAAAACTAGTCTTTGACTAATATAATACCTGACCAACATTATCAGAGTTTAAATACTTTATTTCGTAAAAGTCGTAGTTATATTATTGTAGTAGGTAGTTATATACTCGCCGCTAAAGAAAATATTATAACTTAATTAAAATAAAAAATATTATAACTAATTTAAGATATTTAGGTATTTATCTAACGGAATCTTGTTATATTCATGTATAACACCGCTTATACACTCATGTTTTTTTCCTCCGTGAAAACTTATCCTTTATGCCTATATGAATAAACGAAGCCTATTCTTTGGGATTAGTGACAAACGTTAACTTAGCCGAGCATTGGTTCAGTCTGTACGCGTCATATTAAGATGCGCCACCCGGCCGATTGCATTAATTTACCTCCTATCATTTACTATGAAATAGCGTACATATCTTTATTCATATTCAAAAGAAAACCGAAGGAAGCACAGACTAAGAAAAAGATACTACGTGAAGAAAGTCTTATTTTAGATAGTAATTAAACAATCGATGTTTTCGGTACATAGTAATCTACGAATCGAAAAAAATCCCTTTGTTTTCTATAAGCGATAAGGCGATGAGCCTTATAGAGTCTATTTTTACATGGTTATTTTTGCATTTATCCAAGGCAAGACTCATGATATGTCAGTTTAGCAACTGTTTCACTACGGTTAATTTTAAACGCCGCATAATTTTAAAGTAGTATTTATATAGAATAAATTATAATTAAAGAGAAGATTAATGATGAATAAATGCATAGTGCGCAATTTGCATAATTTAAGACGACTTCTGCCCATTCTCCTTTGAAAATTGAATTTATTTTTAGATTTGAAGTTATTATATTATTTTTTAGATATATTTCATGACCCAATTGAGTAGTAGATGTTTTATTTATACCTTTTTATTATGTACTCTTGTCCTGCTAACAGGTGTCGCTTGAGGGACTGCATCCAAATGTGAAGAATTTGGCATAACTGGTACCCATGATGGATTATGTGGCTTTTTACTTTTGCTTTCTCTTGGTGTTGCTAACTCTTGACCTACTGATACTGCTTTATACCTATTAATTAAAGAATTAACAGATATATGTATGTTTTACAGTAAAACTATTGTAAAAGCCCATATGCTCATAAATCTTAGGTTTTCCTATAAATTTTGGGTTTTAAATGAATTTTACAAAGAGATCATCTTTGGATTCAAAATAATGTAGTATGCTAAATCGAACCAATAACAAATGAATAGGTATTTCTTGCTTAAAGAAATACAGAAAATTTACTATACTTTGGGCATTTACAGTAACAATATGTATATAATGTCAGTAACATAAGTGACATATTAAGTATAACTTAATATTATTTATTTACTTGTCATCATTTCCTTCAATAATGTCCTCTACCTCAGATGCTTTGAGTAATGACACAGAACTTGACAATACATGAGGACCTAGGCCATTGTCAACCAGACGTTTTCTTTCTTCATTAGTAAGAGTTCTCCTGGCCATGCCAGGATACTTTTTATAAAGAGACCCACGGAACAGCCGCAGGTAATTTCCCACCTAAAATATAAAATTTCATCAGTTTATTTTTTGTCTCAGAAATATATCAATACAACATAGTTAATGCAAAATTCTTCAATTATAATATTCCATATCATTATTTCAATACTAATTAGCAAGAAATACACAATTGAAGAAGAACACATCTATTTTGTTCATGAATTTGGGTTATACAAAAAATTTTTGCGATTCTTTTCTAATAACATTTTGAATATATTTCTTGGCGTCCATGATATCAACTATCCATCCACTGACCCCCTTGGAACTTTTGATAAAAGATAGATTGAAATGCTACTAAAGAAATTATTTCAGAATTACCTCTGATCCAACACAATAAAAGTCACCTCCTTCTTCTATTTGAAAACTTATCGGCTTATCGCCGTATGTTCTAAGAGCCATTTTAAATGTTTACTGGTTCACCTCGTATAAAAACTAAAACAACTAAAGTTTACAATGCAAATTTTCAGTTCACAATCACACAATGTCCTTAAACAAACAGGTATATATACTTTCTCCACAACCACAAATTAAACGAAGCTAACCAAGAAAGCAAAGCAAGCCAACGCCAACAAACCTACACCACAAAAAGACACTGACATTTTAAATTCTCGAATTAACGCAAAATATTTTAAACTCTATCTGTATTGATAGTAGGTTTAAAATGAAATGGGGAAATTAGTCGCGAATGGATATTGTTATCAACAGACTACAAAAAATAAAATCATAAACGATGAGGCGGAAACACATTTTAGTGCAGGGTTGTTGTTTGTTGTTGTCGAAGTGACGAATCAAGGCACAAATTACCTAATAGTTACAACGACGCAATCGCATGCGATAAAAAAAAAACAGTTCTTGGTATCAAACTAGATATCACTACAGATATTCGAATAATTTTCTATGATATTCATTCAAATTTTCATTCTGACCTATTAAAAGTAAATTGAGTATCTAAAATTAAATTAAATTAAATTAAATATTAGATACTCAATTTACTAATTAATTTTAAACATGAAAGATAACCGAATGGGTTGTCATGGAAAAATCAAGATCGTACTGTAGCGACATCTAGTTTAATTTCGGGAACTAATGTTTTTTTTTTTATTTGTATAAAGTGAATAACTTTCTTTTTATTTGTATAAAGACAAATGGAAACTAACGTAATGGAAGTGAGCATAGAAAAGGTTTTTAAAAGTTACGGAAATCGATAGTATGAGGAAGTATTTAAGAAAAAAAGAAATCACTAAAAAAGCACCTCCACTAGATGGCGACTCTAGCAAAAGTTGATTTTTGCAGGAAACAATTGGACCAAAGATAGTAATTTCCGTTCCTTTTAACTAACATTAAAAAAACTGAAATTTGTTAATTGTAATAAAATTCTGAAATTTGTAAATTTACATATTAATACAAATAAAAAAAGTACAAATAGAATCTGAGTTGTTAATTGAGTTTTAAAAACTAATTTACTTTTATACATGTTTTTTTTTTTGTGGCTAATAAGTGTTTGATATGTAGTACATGTATTACTTTTCTCTTTGTAGTACACTTTTTTCAAATGGTTCTTAGTTTTAGAAAAATATTTTAGGTAACTTAGGTTTATTATTTTTACTTTCCGTATGTATTATTCTGGAACGCCACTCCCAATATTGAATTGTTACAGTAATTATGAAGGCACTGACTCCCATACATAGTTCAAACTAGTATGGGAGACAGGGCACAAAGAATATTATACTGTTATTGGACATAAAATTATAAAAAAATTATACATGAAAAAAAACCGGAAAGGTTGTCATGGAGAGATCAAGAAAGTACTGTAGTGACATCTAGTTTGATTTCGGGAATTAATGTTGTTTTTTAAATACTTTCTAAATTAATGCTGTGAAATTATTAAAAGTAGCATTTAACTACGGTTTAAAAAATAAAATTACCTTGAAATTGTTTATATAAATAACATATTTATGCCATACCATGTCTATGCATTTTTCATTATCATATTAAACAAAAATTCTGAATACAAGAACAAATAGGTAAGTAAATTTTGTTGCTTTTAGTTGTTAGTTGAATTTACAACAACAAAACTACATCAAATCTCAATGATGTTTTTGTATTATATGAGGTGAATGAATGAATAGGATTTATTAATCAGCAACAAAGGTATAAAAATGATAATTATAATTAAAAAAAACCATTTGTTAACTATATACTAGGTACTCGTACAAAATAACATGACTTCTGGTTAGAATGACCAGAACTCATGTTATTTGAATGACCAGAAGTCACAAGACACGTACAGTTATTATACTATCGCTACTGAACTTGCATGTCAACGGCGGATGTCGAGCCGGGTGTTATGTTAATTCGTACGGTTGGTATGTGCTTTTTTTGGTTCTTACAATACTAATAAGCTTACTCTAGAAATCAGTTATGTTGAAATATATGATTTCGTAACTACCTAGAGTAGTCACACTATCTTAAAAATCTCTGCCGTGGTGTAGTTTGCGTCGAGTCGTTACGCTCCCTCAAATATAGTTGAGCAAAGCGATGGCTGGCTCATGCGTCGAGCTCGTCAACAGGTGCTGCCAGTAGGATGCTTCTGCACTGGACTACTTATTTCGTCTTTTTTCTTTTATTATGAATATTGTATATTGATTTTTCAATGAGTATGTTTGACTTGGCAACCGGCATATTATAATTTTTGTCTTTTAACAAACAAACAACGAAGTATGCTTCAAAAGGTATTTCAGTCCACTGAAGTATTCGAATACTCAAGTTAGTATTTTTTATGAGTATTAAAATGTTCTAAAACCATCAATAGCTGACTCTGACATCACTAGAATGATATGTCACCTTTGAATGAATGAACTATGATAATAATACATTGAATGTATGGTATAACTAGTTCTCTTATTGGTCTGTGGTATGATCGGTTTCCTTCAATTCAGTAGTTCAGTACTTTTTGCTTCAGTTGATAAATTTCTGTTTAGGGAGGTGGTCGCAGTCGTTGTCCGTCGCCATTGGCAAGGATTTTAAAAACAATCAAACATGTCGAAGCCTGGAAATTTCAAGAATCCATTTTCAAGACCATGGATGGCTGAAAATGGGGCAGCGGCTGCGGCTGGGGGTTCAGGGACGTCAGGACTCAAAGGAGTAGTAGCCGGCGGCATAACTGGTGGCATTGAAATTTGTATCACATTCCCGACTGAATACGTAAAAACACAACTGCAATTGGACGAGAAAGGTCAGTATAAACAAGTAATAATGAATTTCAATGATATTTTCATTCAACATTAACGTAAATATGCTCCATCAAAAACATCCTATTTTTATGTAAAACCTAAAAATACATCAAATACCTACGTCACTCGTGCAATTCCGTAAAGAATTGATTTACCTCGACTATTCAAATTTAAGCATTGGCTTTCGACAATAAGATTCTTATTGGAATCGACAGAATAAATATACTAAATCGGAGGTTACACTAGTACACCAATAGTGTTGGATAATAGGTAAAATATGTTAATATTTATTGTGGACTTTGCTCTCTTTCAAGTGTTATGGACAATTCGAAGGTTATATGATTGGTATAAGAATATTTATTTTTATTCATTAACTGAATTTATTTCATATTCTATTAAAATAAGTACCATTACAAGGGAAAAGAAAAAATCTTGATATACCTAATTTATAGTTACTCTGCGTCATGGGTATACTACAAAGACATATTAGTCTAGATAGGCTTTTATAAATAGCAGTGTCTAAATTAGGAAATGCCATTTAGCTGCATAATTATATTAAAAGTTCAACTGTAGGTAGGTAATGCTTTGTTTTTTTTTCAGTTTTCTATAACATAGACAACTTAAAACAAGGGCTTCTTAATGTTTTAATTCTGTTAATAAAATGTTATATTAATGCACTGTTTTTCTTTTTTTTTTAATTAATTAATTACACTTAATACATAAGTTTATGTACTTAATAAACTTAAAAAGAAAAAAAAAATCTTTTATATTTAGTTTCATTTGTGAATCTGTTTTGTTCAGGTTCTTGACCTTTTAGGTATTGGGAATCATTTGACTAATCTCTGTCTTGGCAGAGACCAACCAGTTGATAATATGCAGCAAGGGCTTGTTCCAAAACAAAAATGATTTTACATTTTAATTGTTATAGGAAAAATATGCACTACATAAAGTCTAAATGAGATTATTGTGATTGTATACTCTTTACTACTATTTATCTCTCAATTAACTTTGTATTATTCAGATGCTTCCAGGACTGCTCAGAATGCTTTCAGGGACCACCAGTGGTCCACAGACTAGTTAAGAACCAATGACTTGGATGAATATTTATTATGTGTTTTTTATTAACAGGTGGCACCAAAAAATATTCTGGTATTGTAGATTGTGTCAAGAAAACAGTCCAGGGACATGGATTCTTTGGACTGTACAGAGGCCTTAGTGTGCTACTATATGGCTCTATACCTAAATCTGCTGTGAGGTGAGTTATCTATATAGGATACACAAAGTATTATGTTATCATATTTAGGAGTGTTTATTACAGTAAGACCATAGAAAAAATTATATTGAAGTTATAGGTATAGACCTACAATGTATTCATGAGTTAAATGCATGGTAAAATTTACATCTTAATACAAGATGACCCAGTGTACTTCATATCTCCCCTCATTGTTTAAACCTCTGGACTACAACTAGGGTTACCACCCGTACTTTATAATAAAGTATTGTATGTTATTTCAGACAATTGTACTCTATAAGAAAAATAAAGTACACAAAAATACTTTATGTCATATGATTTGATTTGTTTGTGATTTTGAAGCTTAGTCGTAAGTATTTTTTCGTTAAACAAAATTTATCGATTTATGCTGAATCGATAAATAGAAAATGTACCTATTTTTAAGTTTAGTCATAAAAAAAAAATACTTTATTTTGATTCAATTTACTTTGTTTTTGTACCTATAATAACTAATGTACTTTATTTGGGGAAAAAAAGGTGGCAACCATAACTACAACCAACATCGAAAACCAATCACGGTTCAGAGTGATAATTATCTCGATAATTATAAGACACAACAAAAATTCCTTTTGAATTTTAGGGCTTTTTATTGAAATATGGTTTTCAGATAGAGAAAAATGACTGTGATGGACCTATAAACATGAAAAAAATAGTATTTTATTGTGTTTTCAAAATTTATTTATATTTTCATTTTACTTTTTCAATATGTCTTCACAGTTTTTTTTTTTTTGTTTAGTTTGTATAATTTAAAACAACAAAAATAAAGTTTATGCAATTATGAATGCCTTCCCATATTTAAAAAGAAAATGTCAGTATCTACAGATATTGATCGGATAATTATCAATATAATTATCTTGATAATAAATTCATTCTCTAGTTTTAGCTAGACAAAAACAAACAGCAATTGACCAAAAACTTACCTCTTTAAAAAATTAATTTTATAAAACCACACATTAGAATGCGCAGCACGTAAGTTAAAACAATGGCGAATGTGCAGTAGCACGTTTCGCGGGTCTCAATCGAGGTGCTGGAAAAGACGCAGCGCCTAACAACACAGTATATCAGTGATATCAGCTCGATAAATCGCTACATTGGTTCAATTTACATGCCACGCATTTTACCATGAGTTCAAGTCACAAATTAACTGTAGGTATAGGTACTCTATAGTGTTAACTTTAACATAATATTGTCTATAGTCGTACTGAAATAATAATCGTAATAATGTAATTATGATAATAACTTCTGTATCCTATAATATGTTTTATATTAATGTAGCTTAAATTAAAAATATATGAAATTCGACAACTGGGCTACTACTGCAGGTATTATTTAGGTAATCTATTAGTTATTATCATCATAATATTATATGTTGATTAAGTAATGGCTGCAAAACTATTAGTTATCAGCAAAAATCTCCCATATTTGTGGCTGTTTAAGTCCTCTACGTCCCAAAGGTTGGCTGGTAGATTATTTTTAGCTATAAGACCACCCTTTGTTGCACTATAATGTTAACATTCTTTTAAGGTTTTTTGTGTGGTGTTGACAATAAAGAGATTTCGTCCATTCACATAGCATCCTCAAGAGTTGTTAAAACTAACAGTACCAAAAACTCCTACTGTTGGTACTGCCGCATCAAACAACTTATAATATCTTAGTTTCACAATTAATGCAATGGAGTACAGCAAGGTATTGCCTGGTGCTATTAAATAAATCTTTAAATAAGCTCTGTGATAGATAATTTATACAAATATAATATTTTATCTTGATTTTTACATGACATTGCTCTCAGTTTGTATCTTCACATGATAACTGATAATGTTCTGTGTAATAACTGCGACAAAAATATATATTAAATATTTACTGGACACAAAAACAAATCAGTGTTTAACTTAGGAATAGTCAAATGCTTAAATTATTTCAATTATGTATCCACTATTTCCACAATATTTCCAAAACTCTTGAAAAATGTTCAATTAGAACGTGAATGTTCTTAGTCTCTCGTGGACCCTTGTGAGCTAATCTGTTAGTCTGGCGCATACTACGCCTATATCGATTTCCTTCAGACTTGCACTAATAGTTAATTACTGTATTGTTAGCTTCCGTGTTTACGTTCGATATATAGGGTTAAGGTAAACGCACACAATCTTCATTAAATGTTGAGTGCATTTTGTTTCTGTCGGATGACAAAGTATTCGATGTATTAATTTAGACAAGTTTGCTATAATATTCGTCCACAGATTCGGTGTATTCGAACAAGCTAAACAGTACATGTTATTAGAAGATGGCACCCTCTCAAATACTGGCAAGTTGACATGTGGTTTGGCGGCCGGTGTGGCTGAAGCTATATTCGCTGTCACACCTATGGAAACTGTCAAGGTCAAGTTTATTAATGACATGCGGATGGAGAAACCGAGGTTCAAGGGATTCTTCCATGGCGTCAGAACAATCGTTAGAGAGGAAGGTAAGAATATGCATAAGTTACAGAATTTATAAAACATCGTCTCAAAGGAGCTGCTAATTAATAATGTGAAAACTACATCGTATTTCTAAGTTTTGTTACATTCAAAACGTCATTTCATAAAAAAAAATTGATATAAATAAATCACAAAGTAACCCTAAAAATTCATCATATTTTTTATATGTTTTCATAATATGTGAGTCACATTGTGGTTGAAGACTAGTCTATGTAACACGGTTCAAGTCACTAATAATAATTGTATTATATAAAATATATCTTTATGCGCGACAAAAATCCCATAACATTAATGCAATATGATCTGTGTAGTTTATAACTCCTATTAACATCTAGAATACCTTTTATATATAGGTATATAATTTTTTTATGAAATTGAAAAACTGAGACTAATTATAGATTTTGTCGTTTGCTTACCTGATAAGATTCTTATTTGTTTGCTACACAATCAATTTGGTTCTTCTTAGTCGTTAGAGCTAAGTGTTAACTACTAATATGTATACAGTCGTTATCTGCATTGGCTTGAATAATTCAACCACTGTTAGTTTGATAGCTGACGATCTCACTTTTAGAAGAGATAAGCGGATTCATTTCTAAGATTTTTTAAATAATAAAGACAAATGTAAATCTGTTAATAAGCTTCCCGCGTGACGTTTATTGCGGCATATTCTAAGCAGGTTATTTTAGAGACTAGTATATTAAGCAAATTTTAAAGGTCATAGGACTATAATAGCCTTAATATAAATTACTAGCTGTATTCCAGCAAATTCGCCCGCACAAATTATAACCTTTATTACGCGTGTATGATGAAGCTTCCAGTGGTTGAAAAGATTTTCAAAATCGGTCTTGTAGTTTCAGAGCCTTCAATGCAAACAAATAAACAATAAATTTTTTCTCTTTAAAATATTAATAAAGTATCGGTCCCCAAAATATGGACGCTAACGCGACAATGTTCTGGGGAAATATTAAAAAAGTTAAAAAATAACATAGCTATGTAAAAACAAAAAGTTTATATGGCTTTGTGTGTATAATTTATTGATATTTATTACATTTTTTAATGTGTCGGATCCGTTTCAAGTTCTCTTATCACTACTGCGACATTGTTGTGTAATCGATCACAGACTCTGCAATGAATTCGAAACGTCTTTCAATCTAATGTACAGCACTGAAATTGATCCAAAATGGCGATTTTCCGCGCAAGTACAGGTATACTGCTTTGCTATGGTTACTGCGGTCCCGCCTCCACTTTTTTAACGCTAGGAAATGCATTGCTGCATTCCCGCTCCCCCCAGCTCGGATTCGGCGAGATCCGGTCAGACCCGTCTTCATAAGAAGGGCTAGGCAAAAGCAGGGGCATACCCAATAAAACCTAACGATGGCCCTCTCCATGAATGCCATATACGGGGACAACCCGAAGAGAACTTCCCGCGCAGTTCGCCCCCATTTCGGTCCACCCCTTGCACAGCAGGGGTTGACTTATAGTGATCGCGGACAGGGACCCAAAATTTTGGTTCAAATAACGTGCCGTACATTATACAATAAAAACTGTCAAGTGTGAGTAGGACTCGCGCACGAAGGACTCAGAACAATTATCTATAGAAAATACAAGAAACATCTTTGGTATATGGGAAGACTCTTAAATGTTTTTTTCGAAGCTGTTGCTTATAGCGGTAATAGAAACACATTGTATCTGACAATTTCAACTTTCTGACTATCACGGTTCATGAGAAACAGCCTAGTGATAGACAAACGACGGACAGCGTAGTCTTAGTATCTGTAATGTAACCAAAAATATATAAATTTATAAATAATAATCTAACTCCTGACCTTAAATACATCGTTTTTATTCAAGATGCGTAACATTAAAATTCCCTATAGAAATACTACTACTATGTATAATGTAATTTTATCAATAAATAGTATGAAACAAATTCCTCTCCCGCTGTGTATGCGCTGAGATCTTATAAAATACATAATTAATTTTAATTTGGTTTTCATAATAGTTATTCAAGAGGAAGGTCTATTACGTATAATACAAGATCACGGGTGACTAAATTTTTTTAAATAACGTGCTAAAATGCCACAGCACGTTCGTGATTGGTTAGCGTGACAATATTTTAATTTTCATTACATAATCGATACTGGCTTTAAATCAATATTGAAGATAATTTAGTAACTACTGACAGACAGATGATAATTGCTATAATAATAAATGCGGTTGCTTAATTATTTGGATAGATTTTCCTTGATAACTGTCCGTCTTGTTATAAAACCAGGACTAAGGTTAGTTTTGGGCGGCCAATGGCTATCCATTGGCCGCTCTTTTTCTTTTTAATTAATAGCGTTGCCCTTGTGGATTTCGCCAGAATCCAGTGTTTCGCTCACTTCAAAGCAAATCGACAATAATAGAAGAGAAAACGTCAAGTTGAGATGTGTTGACTTATAATGGTTCAAATCCGATATTAAGATTTAGCTCTCTAGTAGCCCTACTGAAGAGCACTCACTCGGTTTACGAGAGGTCGGAATCTAAGACATCCAAGCTCAAATCTGAGACAGTGGTTTTTTTTCTTACAATAAAAATAATATGTCAGTGCAAAATACACTGAAAATAATATTAAAATGAATGCTACTAACGCTAAGTATCTTACATGCAACTAATAAAGAATCGGCCATGAAAATACTTCTGGTATCTTTATCACGTGTCGGGATATTTGATACCGTGAATGCGTTAACATGAACATAGGTCGTTTAACGGATGGATATCGCGTGAATATCACATTAGTTCTACGTGTGTGCATTAACCATGTGTGTTGATGATGATCGAAGATAAGTTGCGGTAGGTACTTATTACCTAATATATTTATTCATACTTATTATAATCGGGAAAGTGCGTTTGTACTTCTTTCCCGTCTTAACGGTGATGGTATGATTGTTTTTGTTGAGATAGTTGGAAGGCTTTTGCCGCGATCTTCTCATTTTTATAGACAGATTTATTAGGTTGCATTCCCGCGGACGAATGCGTAGGTTACATCTAGTTTCGAACAAAATCGTATGAACATATGTGAAATAGACAAAGCTTTTCTTCGACTGCGTTAGATTGTTTTTTTTGTTACAGCTTTGCCAATTTCACATATACAATTAATGACAGACATCTTATCACTTTGTAGGTCACGCGGTCACGCATTTTGTGAATCTTATGTCACATTCTTCATAGTATGTAAAGTTATTATAATACGTTATTATATGTTAATATAAGACAGAGGATGGCGATTTGGCGATAGAAATACTAATTATTAGTAACAAAGTGACTCATATATTTCCAAAGTAAAACTTAACCATCCTATGACTGGTCCTTACAAAAGTTTCTCAACCTACAATTTAATTAATCCAGAGCGTGGACCGTAGCAAAAATTAATGAAATGGCTCTGAAACGTAGCGAGGCGCTATTATTAATTGCGCTATAAAATATAATGGCGCTATATATAATTGCGCGGGGCCCTCAAACACACGGGGCCCGTAGCATTTGCTACTCGTACTTTTGCTACGCTATTGCGGCCCTGTCAACCTACGCTTCACAAGCAAAACACACAATCCACTGCGTTAGTGAGTTTACTGTCTGATAATTGTTATTAATTTGGCACTTCTCGGCAGGATTTGGTGGTGTGTACAAAGGTGTCACCGCTACTATCATGAAGCAGGGCAGCAACCAGGCCATCAGGTTCTTCGTAATGGAGTCCTTACGAGACTGGTACAAGGGCGGTGATAGAGACAAGCCTGTGCCCAAATATATAGTGGGTCTCTTTGGTGGTGTCGCAGGTAAATATAGCCTTAATCATTTTATCAATCAATAAGTACTTCTCTAACTGGTGGGTTTTTCGTAGATGAACTAAAACTATACTATATTGGGAATACCTGGATATTAGTTTTGTGCCTATAAATCATTAGTTAATTATTGGGAATTTAAGATGGTTGCAAATTGTTTTAATAAGGAGTGATTATTAAGACCAATCTTATTATAAATGTTAATGAAAATTGTAGACATCGATATTTGTAAATTATTTTTAATTCGAACATCAAATCATTGCTAAATATGCACTTAAACATACTAAAAATAGATTAAATAATTAGGTTTAAGACCGAAACACTTTCATTTTTACTGCCAAAGTGATATCGTCTTTGAATACATTTAAATAAGAGCGAAATCCGCTATCATATACAAAACCTGTAGGTATCTTTTTTGTTGTGCTCTCACGTGACTCTCCGACGCATCTTTTAGTGTTTTCAGCTCTTTTAAATAAAACCCTTTCTAAAATCAACAAAATCTACAACAGGTGCCGCCTCTGTCTTCGGAAACACACCAATCGACGTAGTGAAAACTCGAATGCAAGGTTTAGAAGCGACAAAGTACAAAAACACCTGGGACTGCTTCGTGAAGACCTGGAAGGCTGAAGGACCGCTCGCCTTCTACAAAGGTACCGTGCCACGACTGAGCCGAGTCGTTTTCGACGTCGCCATAACCTTCACAATATACGATAGCATCATAGACGTATTCAACATGGTATGGAAGTAACTCGCATTTAGAAATGTTAAAACATTCATGTACAAAACTTCGATCGTTTGATAGAATTTAAGTAGAAAACTAAGTATTGATATACAACGAGGTATATTTTTGTATGACAAAAATGTTACGTGTTTATTTATTTGTGTAGCTGAACATTGTCATATAGTTTTTTTATGAGTTTTAACCACGGAAGCAGTACGTTAAAGTTGTGATTTATTGTTCAATTGCCAATTTTATTTTTAAGAGCATTTTTATTTATTTATATGACTGCAGTTTATTTTATACAATGAAATTAAAAGTCGAGTTCTCAAATAATTTTAAGGACATTTTAAAGCTGTGTGTGTGCGGTATTGCTAATAGGCCTAACATCGTCACAACATATATATATTTTTAGAGGTACAGTTATATCTGCACTTATCTTTATACAATTATTATGTATGTAATATGTTATTCGACAGTCTAAGTCATTATAGCAGTCAGAAATGTCAAATATAGGTATACAAATATTGAAATATGAAATTGGTACTGAAAACGTGTAGAAACATATGTACTCGTAGTAAAAACAGTTTTTTACGTAGTGATTCGCATTTTATGACAAAAATTGAGACAATCTTAGTGCATTTTATACTAAGTGTAATCGCAAATATATTTAAAGAGCAGTAATTTGAATTTAACCAGTTGTGGATAATCGTCATTGATTGGTTGTTAATCGATTTTGATTTAAAATGCCTATCCCTAGTTGTAAACATCACGACAAGTGAGCAAAAGTTACTCATATTTCAACATTCATTTTTGTTATTAGACTTGTCTTATTGGAGCTCGGTAATTTTTACAGTTATATAGGTATCTAAAATTTAAAAATATTAAAAAAATATATGCATATACCCATATTCATCAATAAAATTGTTCTCTATAACTGGTTTTGATCAAATAAGTGAGAGTCTAAATTTTCATGAAAACCTCAGTCATCAAGGTGCTTAGTTATAAGATTAACCCTAAAACCACATAGAAAACATACATTATTAGCATAAAATGCGAAGATAATAATACCATTTAATTGTTATATTGCCTACGAGTAATTTGTTGTTAATAAATAAAAAAAAAAACATTTACATTTAGTGATTTACAAACAATCACAAACAAAAATAAGTTTTTACGATATTGTTGACGAAAGTTATGCAGAGTCATAGAGTCACCAAATTACGTCTCTGGGTTTTACTAAAGAAAAATATTTTAGAATCATTGATAAAATCAAATAAACTTTTTTTATAGCTACGACTAGATTTATAGCGAGACTGACGGTCGTTCCCGAGATCCCGCAAGTTTTTTACACAGTTTGTTACTGATCTGAAAGAAATTTAAAAATAAGTCTACTTTTCAGTTTATTCTCAATCAATTTTATTAATAAACAAAGTTTTAACGTTGGAGTATGTTTACGCTGAGACTGTACTTAGTATTTGTCAGAATTCGTATTATTAAACAGAGACTTGGCAAAGGTTAACCTACTACGAGGTTCTACGGGAGTAATATTTACTCCTAGAAGGTAGTAGGTTTGCTTATTTTCTGTATAATATGAATTTGGACTAATATTAAAATTGTAATTTTAGCGTAAATTTACTCTGACGCTAAACCTAGTTTATTAATAGCATTGAATGAGGATAGCGCTGCTTCTTTCGGGGTCCATGTGTATTACACCGTACAGTCTTGGCTCATTTATTAATTACGTTTTTTTTATTAAATCTGTAATATGAAACCTATTCTTAATATACGAAACCGTTTTAGGGTAGATTTAAACGCGTGCCTTGTTTTTATAATGGTTTTTAAATATAAATCTGAATCGCAAAATGATTACACTATGATAGTTTGCAAAAAATTGTTAATTATCTTTGCATAGCTTTTCATTTCCCATACTCTGTATTTGGTTCAATATTTTTATTGTAATTAAGAATAGAGAAGTCCTAATTTTTATTTAGTTTGTAGGACTACTATTTAGTATACTGTTTCTTGTTTATACTGTATTCTTATTTACTGCTTATAAAGTAATAGTAATGCATTTTATTTTCTACTCTGTTTTTTACTCAAAATCCTTAAGATTTCTCGAGAGTATTTGGCAAATTTCCCTTTTTAAAAAATGTGTAACCTCGAGAAATCTTAACATTCCAATGTTGTACTATCTCTGGTCTAGCAGACTACCTGTTGAATTTATTTGCTGGTTAATTTTATTTTTATACTTCTGTTTTCAATGAAATGTTGACATAATTTTTATTTATTGTTTATGATTATTTAATAAAATGGTGGTTATCAAAATTGTGTTTTGATTTTTATATTTGGGATAAGTAATTTTTTTTTTTCTGTAGAAATGAAAGTTACATGTAAATTTTAGTAAAACAAATATATTCTTGTATATACATAGGTATACTCTTATAATAATAACTTTTTGTTAAACAGTTAACCCTTACCCCTTACGATGAACGCACTGTATTCGTCTTTTTTAACTGGTAACAATTTCTGTATTATTCGCAACATTAAACGATCACCTTATACGCGCTAAACAGTCCCAGATCTGCAATACCAAAATAGTAATATAAATGGTCGTGTAAAGAAATTCTTAACAACTCGTTATTCTTAATTATACTCTCACTGAGCAACTGCTGGAGAAAAACGGCACCTCTGTAAAGTTCGAAAAACAGATCCGGAGCTGGCTAACGCTACACTATTATTTTAACTACACATTGTCATCAGAATGGATAATTGTTGTGTCGGCAGAATGCCGTACCGGGAACGCATCTATGGTCAATATTATAGCTATCTACTATTGCCATCTCTTGTTCGCTTAATTCGAAGTCGAAGATGTTTAAGTTTTCTTCTATACGCGATTTGGTGAACGACTTTGGTAGAACCGCTACGCCACGTTGAATCTGAAATATAAATTATTTACGTAAGTGTATGAATTTCAAACATTTTTTCTTGTGAAAGAATCTGTCGCTTTCTCATTTAACTCTTCCTGTTTTCTTAGTGAATTGACCCAATTCGTAGGAATAACTTATAGATTACTCACCAGATATCTCAAAGCGATTTGCGCGCGAGTTTTCTTATACTTTTTTGCGATTTCTCCCAACTTGGGGTCTGTCTTGATAGCATCTTTGCCAATAAACTCTGGTCTCGCTTCAGAGATTAATCCTAAAGGAGTATACGCCACTGGCATAATAGACCGTTTTTTGCAGAAATCAACGAGTTTGTGCTGCGTAAGTGTAGGGTTTATCTGTAAAAAAACGTTGTCGTGAAGATCACAAAGAGGATTTCATACGTTGACGTTCTTTACTGTTATTGAATAGATACTCTAAATATTAGATTTATTTTACTATAACAAAATTGGCTAGATGCGTCTGTGCGAGCGCAACGGTAATATGTTGGAAGCGCGAGTGAAAAGATATTTTATGCAGGATAGAAATGATCTGTTCGGCGAACGTACTATAACAGAAAAATCGACAAACGGACTATAATAGAAAGCAAATGAAAAGACTTTCGAATGCCGTACAAATCAAATACTACTATGAAAATGGCTACAAGAAATCTGCGGCAAGTGTTGGCGTTACACATTTGCAACAAACATTTCCACTCTCTCCACATAAATTCTGATTATATTGTTTGCCTTTTTTATCGGACTTCTTTACTGTTATTGACTTCTAAAGATCATCAAAATGATACATCAAGGGGGGAAGGGTGTTGATAAAATATGACAAGGCGTGGGAGAGGTCCTACATTTTGACATGTAACATTTCAAAATCTAACAGAAAAACGCGAAGTTCAGTGATTTTTAAAAATATGTTCCAGCTATAACAAGGACGTAAACAGGGTAAAAAATACTAAAATTCATGTAATGTAATTTATGAAAGGTCCCCTATTAGTATATAGTAAACTACTTACTTCAAACTGATTGACTACAGGTTTAATAATTGCATTCTGCAGCAGTCGAGTAAGCTGTTCTTCATTAAAATTTGATACACCAATTGACTTAACAAGGCCTTCTTTGACTGCAGCTTCCATACCTCGCCACGTCTCAACAAAGTCAATTTTCATGTCCTCCCCCATGCTCTGTACATCAGAAATGTTTTACATCAATGCTGCTAACCAGCGCCATTGGCAATCAACATCATCAAAGGCAAAATACTGGAACTCAGTGCTCTAAGCAAACAACGCCCATAAATCAACAAAATAAAAAACATTTAGTTACACCATTTAATTAATTTAATTGATAATAATTGCCAAATTTGTCAAAAAAAAAATGAAAAATTTGTCAGTCCTGTTAGGTTCTGGGTAGCTCAGTGGTTAGAGCAGTCGCTTGGATGGCGAAAGATCAAAAGTAATTGCCAATAATGGGGAAATCATAAATATCAAAGTCTTGCAAAATACGAGAGATGAAATATGTACTTCTTACAGTCCGATTATCTTACTTCATGAGATAATTAATTCCATATGATTATCTAGCCTAAGTAATACACAAAGAATGTGCTCTCAGTTAATAATTATAGATAAAGAATACTTTTCTTTACTATACTTCTTTTAGTTTTTCTTATATTCTACTTACTAAGAATCAAATACACATCATTCTTACATTTACAGAAACTGGCCAATGTATCAAGTACAAATCAACATAATCCAATTTCAGCCTATTGAGTGATGACTTCAGTGCCGGAATCACATCTTGCTCTGCATGACTGTCATTCCACAACTGAAATAGAAAAAAAAATGTTAAAACTAAAGATAGTATAACTAACTATAAAATTACCATTGGAACTTACTGTAGTAATTTTTCTTTATAAATGTATGTTTTTAAATTTCAATTCACAAAAACTCTATACACGCTTGAAATAATGACTATTGTTTCTTAGCTTTAAATATTATATTAAAAGGTAACATTTAATTTACCTTAGTTGTTACAAACAAATCCTGTCTGCTCACTATGCCTTGATAAATTTTGTTGGATATAGCCTCACCTACTTCTTCTTCATTTTTATAACAAGATGCTGTATCAATATGTCTATATCCAGCTTCAATGCCCCATTCAACTGCTTGGCGAAATTGACCAGTATCAGCTTTGCGCTAGAAATGGTCCTCTTGTATTAAAATATACAATATTTTAACAACTTTTATTTTCAAGATTCCCTTACTACCTACTTACCGCATAAGTCCCTAAACCAATCATAGGAATTTCATATCCACTGGAAAGTTTATAACTTAAAATTTTTCCGGCCATGTCTATACGAAAGTATGTATTTGAAACTTAAAACTTTGTTATAAAAATAACCTACAATGTTCGACTTTCAGTTGCTTTTGAAGGTTAACTTGTGAACGTATAAAATTAAATAATACCTAATCAAAGACTACAGTGATGGTAATCAGTTAATCGAAGTTTTTGCATATGACTGTCTCGACAGCTTAAACATTACAAAACAATGAATATACATAATACAAACGAAAGTCAATTTTTTTATATATTTGAATACAATAATTCTGTACATAGTAATATCGCTACAACTATTTTTTCGCTAATACATTTTTTATGATGAACTTTATACATTTAAAAGAAGAAAAAAATCGCGCTCTTTTACAAACTGACATTGTGACATGTGTGCACAGACCATGCACAGACTTAGTAGGTGAGCGTGCGTAACAGTAACTTTTTTATTATTCTTTTACGGCTTTGGAAGCACCCATGCAGCTGACACAGTCACTCAATCAAATCAAAAAGTATTTATGTACGTACCGGCTTTTGTAAAATTCAGATTTTCTGTACAATACCTAGGGATTAAAAAGAATAGGTACCCGGAGTGTCCTTTTTATGGCATCTATACCTATATCGGTTTTCCGGTATATCGTTGCTCACATCCCTGTTCATTTTGACAATTCGAAAAATTTGAAAAGTTTACGTTTGAAAGTCGTTCGTTAACCTACTGCATACAATACGTTTTTCATCAATTTTATTATTTTTTATTCAACACATGATTTCAATTGAGTTATTTTTCTATCTTCTACCAATCTACGCAATAAGTGATTGATTTTAGAAACAATAACGAATATTATAATATTTTCCACGCGCTTGTATTACCCAGTGTCGGACCAAGCTATCTTTGGACGCGTTTTATTGAAAATCTAACAAAATTCCGCACTATAAGATGGATGATTTTCTCAAGATTGAGAAAATCGGTGAAGGTACATATGGTGTGGTGTACAAAGGCAAAAATAAAATAACTGGCCAATTTGTAGCTATGAAGAAAATTCGCTTGGAATCGGAAGATGAAGGCATTCCTTCTACGGCTATAAGGTTTAGAAATTTTATATTTTATTGTTTACCAACAAGACATTCCCTATTAAAAATTCGCCATAAATATGTCACTTTGTAATTGTACAAAATTATAACCTATGAGATTGTTTATGTTCTTATTTTACAGAGAAATCTCTCTATTGAAGGAGCTAAGTCATCCTAATATTGTGAAATTAGAAGATGTTCTGATGGAAGAGTGTCGCCTTTACCTCATTTTCGAATTTCTCTCTATGGACTTGAAGAAATATATGGACTCTCTTGGGAGTGGAAAAGTATGTTGAATGTTTTCTTTTATGTTAAAAATGTAAGAGTTTACTGTTAAAAGAAGTTTTTTGATTTTACAGTTCATGGACCCTGTTGTAGTCAAAAGCTACCTGTACCAGATCAATAGTGCTATCTTATACTGTCATCAACGCCGCATACTGCACAGAGACCTTAAACCCCAGAACCTACTCATCGATAAGACTGGCATCATCAAGGTATATGATGAAAGTATTTATGACAGAACTTTTGTCCATAATAACTTTGAATGTATCTGCATCATTTTAAATATGTTAATTGTAAGATATAGGAACAGTATTTTAATAATATGTTAATTGTAAGATATAGGAACAGTATTTTAATCCAGGATATGTATTATTTGAAGGTAATTGCATTGAACTCTTGTCATTTATTATTAATGTTTTACTACAACTAGATAGATATACATCATCAGGGATTATGTAACTAACAATTTAATTTAGGGCTTTAAATGCATTAACATTACTAGCCACTTAAAATATGTGGTATTGGACTATCTCCAGTGATATTAACCTATAAATAATATATAAAATATTAGTTTTTTCTGATGAATATTTTTGTGTAAATTATAGCCTGTCACCTAAGTGTGATAAAGTTTGCAATTGGATCAGTATGTCTGAAAATTATCCCCTACAAATAAAACGAAAAAATAAATAGAAACTTGCCTTTTTGTAGTATTAGTATAGTAAAGAAAAGCTAATGTTCGAATAATTATGGAAAGTCAATAGCACTTCAACTACAACCCTTTATAACACAGTTCTTGTTACTAAATCTCAAAAAAAAAAATATCTGTTACTATTAATTTTTGAGGAAGACATTGCACTAATAATATTGAACTTTAGCTAGACACTACAATGGCAAATTTATAGTTGTTGAAATTTTATTGAGATGTGATTATTATGTAAAAAAAAATGCAGAATTAAGCCTAGATTTAAAATTATACATTTCGTCCTTGTTGGGAAATGATATTTTGGAAACTAGATAATTCAAGAATTACTCTACTAACTTCAAATCATATCACACAAGATTGGATATATTATAGTATTTTAATTGAAATTTATATATATTTGTTAGCAGTTTATCATGAAATATTAACAGTCTGTATAATTCAATATACAAATTTATTTCACAAATCTTTTTCTCTAGGTTGCTGATTTTGGCTTGGGCCGTGCTTTTGGTGTGCCAGTGAGGGTGTATACACATGAAGTTGTTACTCTGTGGTACAGAGCTCCTGAAGTGTTGCTGGGATGTCAGAGGTGAGTTTATTTTCAGAGAATCTGCTATGGAAAGTATAATAAATATTAACACCTTCAGTGGGTTATTTTTAAAAGCCATGTAGGTCCTTCTGGATTAACAAGTGTTGAATCCATTGTGGTGGCTGGTGATTACTCTGGAAAGGCACTGACAGATTAAAGAGTTGAAAATCTGCATAATAAATATTAGTATGATGTGTAAGCATGTTGTACAATGAGTCCAGGGTAGTTTTAGTACCATTCTGACCATCGGCGCTGACAGAATAATATGTATGGGTTCTATAGAAGCAATTTAGTGTAGCGCCGACCGCGGCCTTAGGCGTTGCGTGTCGGTGCTGATCATTGACACACGCGCCTCTGCCTTCATTTAGCGTTTCAGTGTCGAACCGACTGGATGCAGTCAGCGTATACAGTCGTGTGGATTCGCGATGAGGACACGAGCCAAGTATGCCTGAGAAACCAGTTGCTTGAGATGCATGCAAACTTATGCTCAAGTGAAAGTACTTGAAAAATATGGTTATTTTTGACTGGTTCAATTAAGTTAAACAATTCTTTTTACATAAGTGATACACTCGATTTAGCCATGTCTATACTTGACAGTGGTCAGCATAACATTAAAACATGTATGCGCTGATAATTACTCGTGTAGTCGTCAGACCAGACAGTCCGCGAGACACTAAAGCGAACCTATGTATGTGCCATGTCACAGTTAAGACAAAGCCACATTGTATAAGCCAAAACGGAAAATTGCTACTGTAAAAGCAGCTATACAACATTCTGTTGGTGTTGCAGGTACTCATGCCCAATAGACATTTGGTCTGTGGGTTGCATATTTTCAGAGATGTCCTCCAAGAAGCCCTTGTTCCAGGGAGACTCGGAGATTGATCAGCTCTTCCGCATCTTCAGGTAATGTATTATAATCATTAAATCCTTCTGTTGTTTAATTTATTTGAAATATACTTTAAGGTCCTTTGATTTTGAAGCGTGAATCCATATTACACCTAATGAAGCTGCCACATAACTGCCTTCTGACTACAACAAAAACAAGCAGCCTCATAATGTGAATACATGGCTTTAAAGTTCCAGTTTCTAATTGACGACTATCTGTTGTCTGATCAGATTTTCCTGCAATAAGGATATAGATACATAAATGTTTTATTTATTTAAAAAACATTTATGTATCTATATAATAAAATTTAAAATTTATTTTGTTATTGTTTTCAGAATGCTGCGCACACCAACAGAAGAAATATGGCCGGGGGTGTCTTCTCTCCCAGATTACAAACCAACCTTCCCCAACTGGAATACATTTAATCTCCACAACCATGTAAGTAATAATGTGATTTGTTTTTGTCTATATATTAAAAATTTGTCTATATATTTGAAGGTAAAGAGAGGTGTTTAGAGAACTTGAGGCCATAGTCACAGCTGCCCCACTAAATTATATTACGTCTTTAAAGCTGGTTGACTAAGCTCACATTATTCAATAACTCTAGCCAATGGGTTTGGGTGAGTAGCCATGTCATTGACATGGATAAGAGATAGTTTAAGTAATTATACCAATACCAATGTTGCAGGGAACGCCTGCCCCAGCTATGGGGCATTAATTGACTGGTGATGATAAATACCAATGTTCAAATGATTTTATTAATTAATCTCTTGCATTGATAGATAACAAGTTAATTTTCTCTTCAGATATTTTTGTTGTAATTCAAGTTACCGGTATGCCCATTGTTCTTTAATAAGGTTTTGAATAAGTAAATAATTGAAGAATATGTAAAATCACTGAGAATCACGGCTCAATTCCCAATTGGATCAATCTAGAAAAAGGACTTTTCTATATTGTCTTGGGTCTGGTTGTACCTATGTTGTCTCAGATACTCCATAATACGTAGCCTTTGCTACTCATCTTGGAATCCAAGCAATGTATGTTATGTTGTTTAATATTTATTTATTTATTTATTATTTAAAACAAGAAAAATCAACAAGGCAGTCAAATATATATAATATATATAGTTATCATGACAAATATATATATATTTTTTCATTAAATTTATTCTATGTCCATTACTATATGCAATTCAACAAGCTTTACGTTTGTAAAGTAAAGACATTTATTGTGTATTACATTGGAAACATTACTCACAGGTACAAAACTTGGACGAAGTTGGTATGGATCTTCTGCAAAAAATGCTAGTGTACGATCCAGTAAAGCGTATCTCGGCGAAGGACGCTCGTCGCCACCGCTACTTCAGAGATGTGAAGTTACCCGCCGGACTCGCCGTGAACAGCGCGTACATACGATACGATCGCTCACCTGAAACCGACTCAAGCGCACAAAGTGTCTAGTGAAATATAATCAGTGTCTGAATATTAGTATTACATTACGGAAGACTAGCGCGGAGTGTGAGTGCTATGCTTCAGTAAATGCAGTGCTCAATACATTGTCTTAATGAAGGTTATAGTGTTACACATCTGTGCATATAAACATAATGGCATTGGGTGTATTCATATCGGACGATAACTGTAATATCATAACTACACGATATCGTCAGACTGGTAATTTGATACAATGACTACTAGATGCTTTCACACTATCATTTACCGTCGCCAACAGATTATCGTGCCGATATCGGGTGATGACAATTTGTCGTAAATAGAAAAGATAAAGCAAATGTAACTTGTTCACTGCTCCCGTTATTACCTCAAATATTTTTATACACTTTTTGGAATCACGTGGATATGTATTAACTAATTGCTACCGAGCTGTTAGTCCCACACGACGATATCGTTGTCTTTCTTGTCCGAGCTGACGATATTTGAGTATCGTATCATTATCGTAGCAGTGTAAAAACGCTAATTCAAGTTTAATGCTGTTGCAAAATATTTAAAAATGATTTCATAATTTACGGCAGCAAAAGGATAATGTCAAAAGTTGTTGGTGCTTATTAGCTCTAAAAATAATGTCCGATGTTAATAAACATAGAAAGAGTTGGACAGAAAAAAATGTTACACTGCTTATAACCAGAAAATGATGACTCCAAGATGGCTTCGTTTTATAGCAATTGTGTACATATTAATTGTAATCAATGATATCTCATTATGCTTAAAAAAGTACAATCAGTGCCTTAATAATGTTTTATTGCTACTTTATCCGACTTGTATGCTTAAAGTTCAGTGCGAATTTTGCCATTTAGTGTTTAATATATCTAAGGTTTTGAAGGTTTGATGCTGTGTAACTAGAAAATGTTGGCTATAATTTAATAGAAATGATGCAGTTCATTTGGTGATATCGAATTTTAACATATGTTACCGTTATTACAATTTCATCTATTTTGTATATACAATTATAGAAAAGCAATAATTTAAAAATTAAACCAACTCAAATGCATGAGATGTACTCTTGATTTCTTGATTCTTGTGGTGCTTGTATATTTAATAGTCTAAAGGGGTCGAATTAAAAGAATTCTCTTAACACCTTACATTATCTTATTATAACTTATATTAGAATTTCGACGACTTTACGCATACTGGTATGCGATCATTAAAAAAAACAGTCATGCGTATTAATAAAAAATCACTTTGTTGAATAGGAGCTCCCCCTTAAATATTTTCTTTTGTTTTTGAGTAGGTATTTGTTGTTATAGTGGCAACAGAAATACATAATCTGTAAAATTTTCAACTATATATTACTGTTCATGAGATTCAGTCTGATGACGGACATACAGACGGATGGACAGTGGAGTCTTAGTAATAGGGTCTTTTTTTACCCTGTAGGTGCATAAATCTGAAATTCCTCTTTCACACCCTTCTGTGTTCCATTCTGTTTGATTTGCTTTTAATCTTTAATTGTCAATAGTCTTACCATTTTACAGTTGCTTGGTTAGAGAAAGGTCATGTATTTAAATCTTGTCTGGCACAGTTGAGTTGAATGAATTAATTAAATCGGTTCACATATAGAACACATGTTTACAGTGTTATATGAGTAGGATACATTTTATTGTCTTATTAATATTGTTGTCTTATGGTTCATTGAATCTGACTAATTTTCCTATAAAAAAATGATTAGAGGAATAAGATCTTTATGGATAGCAATAAGGACATTGCTCCACTTGCTCAAATGTAGACATGATATTCAGTAAATATAAGTTTCTAAGAACATAGAAAATTAGCATCAAATAGTCAGTTTTTTTATAAAGGGATTCAACATTAAACATATTTAGGTGCTGAGTTGAATATTGAGTAATATATTGCATTAATATAACTTTAGTGTAAGTTTTATAATAAAATGTGACTACAACCCATGTAGGTAACTCAAGATAATATTTTATCTTTTGATATATATCAAAAAATTGTGAGAGATATGCTCTGAGTATGTTTTCATATATTATTGTGTTGTGTATATGACTTGATATAATGAAACTAGTGGCCTTTCGATGTTCGTAATATAAATGGTTGTATATCCTTTGTTTTTTGGGTGTAAACATCCTGGTAAAATTAAAAGTACCTTTACTGCAATATTACAACACAAAGACTAACTTTAGTACCAGGTTTATTTTTCTCTTCTGTCATTATCAATTTATTATAGTATTGGCTTAAACCAAGTACTAACTTTAGTCTTTGTTTCATAATAGACGGTTGATAATCAATATGTAGACTAACACCCAGTTTTCAAATTGAGAATTTAAAGTATGTCTCAAACTGTACTTAAACCATTTCAAATGTCTCTTAGACAGGTTTTTGTGTCTGATTTTAATTTTTGTGATGAACAATTGATAGCAGTTTAATAAAACTCTTTAACATGTAAAATGTAAAAATTAAAGTAAATGAGAATAATCAGTTGAGATTATGTGCTTTTCTCAATTTCGAAACTGGACGAAAATCATTATTAGCATTTTAAAAGTTGCGTCAGCAAAATTTGTCTGTGCCGAGGGCAGCATGTTTATTGGATTGATGACGAGTATCAACACACTTGAAATATAGATTTTTTAAGTTTTACAATAAGGGCCAACTCGTGTCTGTCAAAAAAAAAAATAGCAATAATCAATTTAAATAGGAAAATCGCAAGTTTGGTTGCATTTATATGCCGCGCTTTATGCATCGGTGTAATTTATAAACGTGGTTTTACTGTATTGTATTTATTATAAATTGTATTCAATTAGGATTTGTTTGAAGCGGGACTTGTGGTAATTAGCCCGAAAAGTTGATAAAAAATCTATAAGCCTAAGGAATTATTAACATTGTAGTTGCCAATCCCTTTGTTTTATAACTGTAGTACCGGCAATTTGTTTTTAAAATAATGAGTCTAGTTTACAAGTTGGAGTGGAGCACAACTTATTGATCTAGTCTTGATAGTCAATAATGACTTACTGTGCCCACACCACAAAGTAACGAGTCTAAACATTTTTTATTGAGTTTGCACAGCGCCACCTATACCCGTAACGGAAACTATGATTTCCAATTCACAGTAGTGAATGACGTGATAAAGGTTGAAAGAACTGTATTTTGTCGTTTGTCTATATTTCACAAGAGAACACTTTGAACATGTTCGAGTTATTTTCAGTTATGGCTGGTCTACATGTTATTTAATAGTACTCTAAGTAGATTTTGAACTTAATTTTAAGTGATTAAGTACGTGTAAACGCACAAATAAGTAATGAGTTTAAATTTAGTTAACTACGTGTGAGCTTAATTAGAAGTAATTGTTACCTACTTGATCACTTAAAATTAAGTTAAAAATCTACTCAACACTTATCTACTTAATTACGTAAGTACATACTAGACAAAATCATTTGTTAAGAAAAACAAATATATTTTAGTACTTCCATGCCTGTGGGGACAATGACACAAACTGTCCTGCACGTAGCCCGACAATATGGTCACATTAACTATATACCGTTGCCTAAAACTTAACATCTTTGATAAAAAGATGCAAAGTTATAAAAAGATGAAGCAGTGCATGCTTCAATTAGAGTGGGAACTCCCAAGGACATAATATATGTGAATTGTCAAAATAGCATGTTTATATCAAAATGATTTTTATTTGAAATTTCATTTCAATAATTGTGTGGATAATTATTAGTCTGACTTTGGAGGATGTAGTAGTCTTAGCTTTTGTACGTTTTTTTTTTATTTATAGGTAGGTTTTCACTGAATGCTCTTTACTTTGTAATTTTGTGACCAATCACGAATCTGGTATGCGCGATTATTTTACTTTTCAACACAGTGATCAATGTAACTTGTAAATAAAAAACAAAAATATGTGCCAAATTTAATTATTGTGGTAAATAATCTCAACTTTAATCCTTTTAGTAATGCTCTGGTTACTAAATAAAATATGAGTTGGTAAATATATACTTATGTGAATTCAAATCTAAAACTCGTTTTAGCAGTAAACATACTATTACAATTGCTGTTGAGATGATTTCAAAATCACATAGAGAAATAATTACATAAGATTCCTAATTTTATGTAGAGAATATTTTTGGGAACAAAACAACATCTCAAACGAGAAATAAAATCACCCATTCACTTATTTATTGTAGAATTCCTAGTCTACCGTCGAATTTTCATTGGGTGTTTTTTTATTATTACATATATAAATTGGATTACTACGTAGATACATAATTAATCATTTATTTATACATTTGCAGTATAAATAAATGATTAATTATACATTATTCTGTATTTACAGTACAGACGTATGAGAATATTGATCACTGTGTTTTTATTCCATATTTAAGTGTCAATGAATTATGTTAAGATTCGGAATAAAGTATCGATTTAATTTGTATAATATAGTAATTATTATTTTAGTATTACATTGTTTTATTTAATTCATCAAAACTAAAGTATTCAAAAGAATTAAGATACACTCGTATTTACTCTCTCTTACGGTGGCGATACGATTTCACTTCGTCAATCTCGACGAAGAAATTCGTAGTTCACATGTCATGAGACTAATCTCTACTTGCCGAGGTTAAATAATTTAGTTTATAAACATTCTTCACCTTAGATCTCATTCATGACGTCATTGGGCTCGATCGAGGCCAAGAATGAGCCTCCTGTACATTCCGCCTGTGTTAATTAAGTGATGTGGATTATAAATAAAAGTCACAATTATAAATAATTTACTCTTTATAAAAATAAAATTTATTATTAATATTGGAGGATTTTTAAACAGAAAATATACTTTTCAAAACTTCTACCAAATTACATCAAAATTTGCAGTCCTATAACACGGAGGCTAACATACAATAAAAACTAAGCCCTATATCATGTTTTATGTCTCTTTACATCATTAAGTAAAAAGTACGGGGATGTAAATGTTGCATAAGGAGAAGATGACAATGGATAGTGTCGTTAAGATAGAGGTATATAAATTCGTACCTAATTTTAGTTCCATTTTGTTATAAGTATTTTCTTAAGAAATAGTGTTAGAAGGATTTACAGCTTATTTGGGTTATATTTCTTTGTATAAAACCAGTATTAAATCAGTTATTCTATGGCATTAATGAAGACCAAAAGAATAATAAAACCAGCTGAATTTGGAAAACGATTGATAAATTGTTTTAAATGAATATAAAATTATTATATCATATGTTTATCTGGACATCTTTCAGAGGAGTTTGGGCGAGATAGATTGATAATACTTAATTGTTAACCATACACACGCACGCACATACACACACACACACACACACACCAAAGCCCCCCCCCCCCCCCCGTTATTATAATTGTTATATATCATCACACTTCGTCCATCCCCTTGTAAAATGCTAGTAATTTATAGACGGGGGGCAAATGCGAAAAGAAACAAAATAAAACACGAATATAAAATGTCTATGTGACAACGCCAAATACGAAAAGAAACTAAATAATAAAACATCAATAATATATTTGTATATGTGACTATGCTAGTTGTACATTCAGTGGTGTATTGTATAGACGGCGGCGGCGGCGGGATGCTGCGGCTGCGGCTGCGGCTGCAGGATGATGCGGTGCGCGACGCCCGCCAGCTCCTGCGCGCCCAGACCCGACACGGCCACCGTACCCGGCTGCAACTGTAACCAAGCAATTGATCATTAACCAACCAAACAATTGGCTCGGTGACGCAGTGGATAACCGCCGCGGCCGGCGATCATTGTTGTTAAGCAACTTTCGCAAGGGTCAGTGATGGGTGACCAAAAAATTTTTATCTCGAGCTACTCCGTGCTTCGGAATTCGGAAGGCACGTTAAGCCGTCGGTCCCGGCTGCGTTTGCAGTCGTTAATACCCTCGTTAAATGGGCCAGCGTGGAGAGTTTTGCCCATCCTCCTTAACCATCCATAAGGAAGGCCTGAGCCCTTGCAGTGGGGACGTAAAAGGGCTGATGATGATGATGAATTGACCATCAGCCGGTGCCGTGTAAAGCGGTCCCCAGACCAGTAATGTCAAAGTTACGCAGGGCCGGATCAAGGAGACCCACTTTGACACTTGCCCCGGTGCCAGTGTGGGGCGCCAAAATTATGATAATATAACACACTAAATGAAACAACTTTTAAATGGTTTAATCGCGTTTGTATTTTCTTTTATTGACGTTTCGGACCATTTATATGTTCGGTCTTATGTGAACACGGATAACGAAACCGTTTAAAAATTGTTTCATTTAATGGATAGTACACGTGAAAATAAAAGAAATCAATAATATAATACAGTTAAATAAACACCGGCCCATTGCGAGTTGTACTCGCGAATATTTGATAAGGTTAGGTTAGGTTATGATTTTCTCATTTTTAATTAGATGCACTAAATTGACAGCTCAATTCGGCTAGAAAACGCTCAGTGTGATCATATATAAGTGAAGTACAAAAGTTAAATTATACCAAAGCTACATTTGGTCTAAATACGTAGTAAAGTGGTCAAAATAAATTGATATCCTTTTTCAATTTTATTATACTAACTGTTCTCGCGACTTAGCACGCGTAAGATATAGCCTTCTCAACCCGGTATCATATCCATGAGTACAAGAATTTTTAAAATAATTCCATTAGTTTCGGAGTCTATTCGATGCAAACAAACAAACAATCAAATGTTTCCTCTTTAATTAGTATAGACTTACTACGCCCATGGTTGTTGTATTACTTATCTTACCTGTAGTATGTTTGGTATCATCGATTGGCAGGAAGATGTCGCTACGTGCAGTTGTTGCTGCTGTACTTGTTGCACGCCGACAGTCTGAATAAGAAATTTAACTTTAAACGTTTCCATTAATAATCAAAAGGTTTGTAAAATTTATATATAATATAATCTACAACTATAATCTAGCTGCTAGATTCTAGCATAAAATCTCTTAAAATCCACTGACTGTAAGCTGAGATTTTTTTAACTACACAATGAGGAAGTATTTAAAAAAAAAAACATTAGTTCCCGAAATCAAACTAGATATCGCTACGGTACTTTCTTGATTTCTCCATGACAACCCTTCCGGTTTTCTTTTATGTATCAAAGTAAATTAGTTTCAAAACTCAATAAACAACTCATATTCTATTTGTACTCTTTCGTATTTGTATTGATATCTAAGTTTCTAACTTTGCAAATTTCGGTTTTTTAATATGTAACTTAAAAGGAACGGAAATGACTATCTTAGGTCCATTCGTTTCATGCAAAAATCAACTTTTGCTGGAGTCGCCATCTAGTGGAGGTGCTTTTTTAGTGCTTTCCCTTTTTTTTAATACTTCTTCATTCAATGTAAACAAACAATCAAATCAAATATTTAAGTATGGATTATGTAGCCAAGCAAGAGTTGACACGAACGTTTTACAATATATAAACATTATTTTTTTTACATAAACCATTAAAACAATCATTTTACTCACGTGTATTTGTATCGGTTGGTGTTGCGGGTGTATTTGTATAGTTTGCAACTGCAATTGTTGCGGCTGTTGCTGCAACGAATATTATAATCTTTGTTATACACACTTGTCACATTCCATGTATTTCGTCACATTTGTGATATGACAAATATTGGTATTTCGGGAGGGCTACGATGTTTTATACAGGGTTATGGGTAATCAGACCGGATCCTTTTATGTTGTCGTAGGGGAGGTCATTCATAATTATTTTCACCCCACATTGTACATCCGGTTTTTTTTTATTTCACTTTTGCAAAACAACAACAAAAAACTTTATGTTTGGGTAAAAATTATTTTAGTGTTATTATTATTATTTATCATGAACTGGATTGTTATCTCTCCAAAACTGTGAACCAAATTAGATTATGACCATATTTTTTTTTTTCAACTTTTTTAAAGAAAAAAAAAAAAATTATCAGAAAAATGGATCACTGTCGGATACATAAAGTGAGGTAAAAATAATTGTAAAGGACCTCCCCTTGGACTCCTTAAAAGGATCCGGTCTAATTATCCATAGCCATGTATAGCAAGGTTGGTACAATGTATAATACTTTTCTATGAATTGTCAATATTATTTTTATAATGATGCAACAGGAGTTATCATCTTACCGTATTAACTTGCTGTTGTGTCTGTTGTAGCTGCAATGATTGAACAGAAGATATAACTGGGTAACTTCCACTCTGAAATAACATTGATGTTTTTGTCATAAATTAATTGTGTAATCCAATGATTATGGTTACCTATTTAAATTTTCTAATTAAATTTGACATGGACAAGATTATCTTAATTAAAATATTTTGATATTTTCATTTATTCAAATAAAAGAGGAACGAATTCATAAAAAAAATATTAATAAATTATAACACAACACGTTAAATTTGTTGACCACATATGTCACATACTTTGTAAGTATACCGTCGATGAAGTTGCAATACCTACCATCTAAAATTGAAATAAGTTTTATCTTCCTGAAATTTCCTTTTTCAATTCTTCTATTATTATAAACGTGAATGTTAACAAGGATGTATATTATATGTATGTGTGTATATTTGTTAACCTTTCACGCAAAAGTATCTGAACGGATTTTAATGAAATTTGGTATATGAATAATTATGAGTCTTATTATCCCAATGCTCCTACTTTAAAAAATAGGTAAACCAATTGCTAAGAGCTACTAGCTAATAAAAATAAAAGAAATAGCAAGTATATCTGCAGGAATATTGTCCGCAAGCAATATATTTACGTATAATAATCTTTTGGTTATTCTCCTGCAAAATCATTTTAGATAGATATTGTCACTTTTTCAACGATAATTAAGTCGAAGTTACCTGCACAATTCCTTGCTGTACATGTTGGGCGTGTATGGGAACGGCTAGCTGCTGCACGCCACCCACCTTCAATACAAATTACGTATGATTCAAATATATTTTATGTAGGTAATGTTATTATAGAAGAAAAATATCGACTAGTATGGACATCGATATTTATCGATTGCATTACGGACACTATCTGTCAGCCAGCTGTTAAGAACTGTCATTTTGACATTGACGTTAAATGATATTAGCGCCCTAATAACATCGCCGTGACAATCTCAAGGAAGAATTGGTTAATTATAACTACCGTTCAGTCTCTTGAGCAAAGAGTACAGTATTCTTGAGTCACGGCTCTCTCTCACTACGGGATGTTTGCAAAATTTTCGTGTATAACGGAACAAGTCCATATTAAAAAAAAGATTGTTTTAAAACTAATTAAATCGGAAAAGTATTTTCTATACAAAGTGTAAAAAAAAGTTGCTTCATGCTATCTATACGCTGAGACCTTATAAACTACACAACGAATTTTAATCCGGTTTTCATAAATATACAGATCACAAGTGGAAAATTTATATGTACAATACAGGACTACACCGGCGAAGCCGCTGGCGGAAACCTAGTCAGTAATAACAAAATGTTGGATGAAAGAGGGAAATAATGATAAGTAATGATGTATTAAAAAGTTTAGATGATTTATCTAAACGCGCACAAAACTGACAACAATTAAACAAGGCAATTTAATGTAATTTCCGCTCGTTATTTTCTGCGAAAAGTTTTAGAATAAATGCCTTCCAGCTTGTTTAGTGTGTTATACAATGCACAAATTACACATTAACAATGTGAAAAGCAAAAAAAAATATCATATCATGCGTAAGTACTGTAGTTACTCTTTTTTATTTTAATAAATTTTTTTAAAACCGTCATTGTTCGCGGCCATTTTTTCATATATCATTCTCTACGACTATAAGAGATTGGAGTTGTCACGTAAAGCAAGTATGTTTATCTCGTTCTAACAAGAGGTATGCTGTATGATTCTAATACGGAGATAACTATTTTTGATATCATCACGCCTGTTGTGGTTGTATTATAATGTAACACTATCACAATAAGTTTACGCCGTTTTAAAACGCAATAATGTACGGGTATGAAGTGTCTTTTAATAAAAAGTTATTGATAATAAATGTCTGCGTAAGATGAAAGAATAGGTGAGTGGTGGAGTAAGTTAAGTCATAATAACCTGTAAAACCGCTTGAACCTGCTGCTGCTGTTGCGGTTGTTGTTGCAACTGTTGTTGTTGTTGCTGCTGCTGATGTTGTTGTTGCTGATGCTGTTGTTGTTGTTGTTGTTGCTGCTGCTGCTGCTGCTGCTGCTGTTGTTGTTGTTGTTGTTGTTGCTGCTGCTGTTGTTGAGCTTGTTGCTGAAGATAATGTTACACTATAAACGACTATAGATTACGGTGGCTAACTAGCCTTCATTACCTGTCTTCATAATACAAATAATTGATTAATATTTAAAATACGTGTATTGTATAATATTGTATTATTTAATAATTGAACTGGATTTACTGATATTTCAATAAAATTTAATGAAACATAAAGTATTATAACTCATATTTCATTTTTAAAAACTTATTTCAGTTGCCGACAAAAAAAAAATGAAATATGCAAACTGTGTAATATTTACTCAGATTTTAGTTTGCAAAGAGCAGCAAAATTACTATAGATATACTGCTGTTCACCCGAGATTTCGACGACGAAAATCATTGCCTATGTCTTCTGCGTACAATGTAGTTTCCCGTAGGTGAAAGATTTTTAAAAATTGATCGAGTAGTTTAGGAGCCTATTCGGTGCAAACAAATAAACAATAAATTTTTATTCTTTATCGTATTAGTATTGACTACTTGATGTTACATACCATATGAACTTGTAAAATGTGCTTCTTAAGACTATGCAGGTACATGTACGTCTTCACGCAGATGCCACATCTGTATCTCTTCTGAGCTGGTGACGTATTCTCTTGCACAGTTACCTCTTGACTTTGTTCTGTGTTCTCCACTTGTTCTTCTACTACGTTATTGATTCCTTCTTGTATGACGTCATTAGGTTTCGGAGTCACAGCTATTTGTGTTTCTATATTTTCCAAATTCGTTGTCGACGACTCCGTTGCGTTTTTGGCCTCATGCGTTTTCATATGCCTCTTGAGGGATTGAGATTCAGCGAAACCTGAGAACGATAAAGGCATAACTCGTACGAATTATCATGAGGACCTGAGGGCTTATTTTATTTGTTCTCGAACAAAAATTCGTCCTTGTAGTTAGTAATAATCATATTCGAGAAGTCTGTGCATCAGAGGCATTATCAGGTCCTACTTGCATTTCATCATAAATTATAGAAAAATGATTTCTTTGGAGTGGTATTAGCGTTTCGAATATCCGATAGCGGATACTTGAATCATTCTGATTGGTCGACAATGACAAAAGTCGCATTTCGAAATTTAGCCTTCTGCGTAGGAACGCATAGTGAGCGTCATTAGTTGTATTTTATTATAAAGTTATTCAGTAATCATTATGTATATATCATTAAAATTCTTATTTAAGGATATATTAAACCACTTTTAATACTATAATGGTGAATAGCAGTGATGTGTGAAAGAACGGGCCATAACGGACCAATACTTATTGGTTGGACCTCTGCAGACGCAGCCGATACCAACAGTGTAAAGTGCCTTCCGTAGCACGGACTAACTTAAGATTATAAATTTTTGGTCACCGCCGCATATCGGTGGATATGCGCTTTTATAGGGTTGCCAACCTAGTCTAAAATAAAGAATTGTTCTCTATATCATCTAGTTGCACTCTCTATATCGTTCTCTAAAAGAGAACGTTAAATTCTCTTATTTAAATTTCTTTATTATGTTAGCGCCAGTCACGCACATATAGTGAATCATACATTATAATTGTAACTGAAAAAGAAACAAAAATCCCTTTTCTTAGTTACATAAATAATACTCAAAAAAATTATATAACATTGAAAATTTATTGATGATACTCTTTATTTATGAGTCCGTACCTTGGACCATAAGAACATCTGCGGTCTGTACTCTTTGAAATGATATATACTTAAGTACTTCTTAAATACTACTCTTTTGTTTTTTATTTATCTCCATATATACTCTATTTCTTCTAGTTAAAGTTGACAACCCTAAGCCCATGCAAGAGATGCATAACGCGCATTGATATAATATGATACTCACATTTCTGACAAACATTGCACTGGTACTTGCCAGTGTGGTACCTCCTATGTACAGCTAAATAAGAGGCAGAGCTGAAGCGATGAGAACATAGTTCACAAGCGAACAATTTTTCGCCAGCGTGTTTGGTCGAGTGCACGCGGAGTTCCGTACGAGACGTACACACTTTGAAGCACGCTGGACAGACGAACCTGTGGAAGGTAGAATTCAATTAGTAATCTAAATATATATAACTCAAAAGTGACTGACTGACAGTGATCTATCAACGCACAGCCCAAACCATTGGATGGATCGGGCTGAAATTAGGCATGCAGGTAGATGTTATGACGTAGGCATCCGCTAAGGAAGGATATTGATCAATTCTACCCCCAAGGGGATAGAATGGGGGATGAAAATTTGTATGAAACTTAGTCAATTTTAAGCTGATCGAGCTGTAACTTTGCATGCATAAAGCTACTATGACGTAGTCATTCCCTAAGAAAGGATTTTGATAAATTTCACCCCTAAAGGGATAAAATAGGGTTTAAAAATTTGTATAAATCTTCTTAGATTTTCGACTGATTGAAGTGAAATTAAAGATTGGAGCCACTATGATAAAGACGTCCGCTTAAATAAGATTTTGATAAATTCTACCCCACTCCTTTCTATACATATTTAGCTTTATTATAATACATATTATGATTTTGCCAGATGGCTGCAGCCATTTAGAGGCCCCCTCCGGCGCCCCCTTAATCCGCCACTGGTGGTTGGTTACCTCTTGTTGCCGTTGTGCGTGACGATGTGGTTGTTCCTGGCTGAGGAGGTGGTAAAGCGGGCGTTGCACACCTTGCACCCGTACGGCTTCTCGCCGGTGTGCGTCCGCTTGTGGTATATGAGCGCGGATTGCTGCGCGAACTTACGGTCGCACAGGTGACATTCGAACGGCCGCTCGCCTACACCGGAATGAACGAATGAAAAGGGATGAAACGATACGAGTGTATACAAGTACTTACTCGATGCTTTTTTTGCATCGATACTTTAGAACTGAGTAACAAGTAGTATCGTAAAGTAAGTTCTTGGTCTTGGTCTGTGGTAAGGTGTCTAAAGTCTCACAGGCGCGGCGTCCCTATCGTATGACGTAGCATTGTTAACCTCTACTAATGATATGTAGTTAGAGATCTATCTACAGAGGGAACTACCATCATAATTTTGAAGCAATACCTATCTATATGCATCACTTTTTATGCGTGGACCTGCTTCTCTTTCTTCTTGATATTACGTAGAAAAATATACGCACGCACACAACCATACACTCCTCCATACATACTTTCCTCTTCCCTCTATATAAAATCAGTTTAGACCAGTGGTCGTTCGCTCGTTAATATTAGCTACTTCTTGAAATTGCATAGAAGTATTTTTTTATAAATGAAACAACTTTTGAACGGTTTAATCGCGTTTGTAATTTTCTTTTATTGACTTTTCGGGCCTTTGATAGGTTTACCGTTTAAAAGTTGTTTCGTTTATGGATAGTGCGCGTGAAAATATAAGAAATCAATTTTTTTTTAATTAACTAAGCGACTTTATATTTTACCTGTATGTACTCTCATATGAGCATTCAACTTAGAGATTTCATAGAATCCTTTGTTGCAGACGCTGCACACGTGATTCCTGATACCGCGATGTTTCTTCATGTGCTGGCACAACGTGGAGTGGCGACGGAACGTTTTGTTGCATTCAGAACATTTCAGAGGCTTCTCACCAGTGTGCAAACGGAAATGAACCTTAAATGATACAATCGAAATTTCAATTAAGATAAACTGATAAAAAAATAATTCAAGTTCAAAATCGTTTATTAAGGTAGGCAACGTATAAAACAAGACGACACGAGAAACTACGGCTGGAGACTATGTGTACAGTAAGTTTTATACGTCATAAATCTACATTTCGCTAAAAAGTATACCGAAGCGATAATTAGAGTTCTTTGTTATTATAATTAGAGCCTAATATTTTCACAATCGCGTTATATTAGATGATGACTTGTTACTTACAAGCCATATACAAATCAAAAAGCTTATTTAAATGTAAACTTTTTGGTTAAAAATGGACGCATTGAATGAAAAATTAACGTCAATGTCTAAAAATGACACCTAATGACACAAGTCAAAACAAAAATGCTATATCTCCTTAGCAGTTTTCTATTTATATATTTTTTTTCATAATAATTCTGTTGTGAGTTTCATATCTAACATTATGGGTTTCGATTATTACGGCATATTAGGTGTGAAACGATCTTGCAACCAATACGAAATAAAAAAAGCATACCGACGGCTCGCGCTCAAATATAATCCAGAAAAACACGACAATGACGAGAACATGAAAAAGATATTCGCTCTAATAGGTGAAGCTTACGAAGTCCTCGTAGATCACAAAAGGAGGGCAGTATACGATCAATACGGCGAGGAGGGTCTCAAGAAAGGAGTACCTGGGCCTACAAATTACATACAACCATACTGTTACCATGGAGAACCTCTAAGGACATTCCAAGAATTCTTCGGCACTACTAATCCATATGCAGATTTACTTGACTACTACGAAAATCCTCCGCCTATGTTCGATTCGCCTCTCGGAAAAGGTTACAAAGAAAAAGATGCTACGATACTGCGTCCTTTATCTCTATCGCTTGAAGAGATATACAGAGGTGGCTTAAAGAAAATGAAGATACAGCGATTGGTGTTTACCGACGAAACATGTTCAGAACTAAAACTGCGAGAGAAAGTGCTATCTATCCCTATTAGACCGGGAATATATCCTAATACAGAAGTTAGATTCAAAGAAGAGGGTGATCAAGGACCGACACGTATTCCTGCTGACGTAATTTTCATTACCGAAGATCGTCCACATGAAACTTACGTGAGATCTGGTTTAAGCGACTTGGTAACTATTCAAAACGTCAGTTTGGAGGAAGCCCTATGCGGTCTCACTATAACTTTGAAGACTCTTGATGATAGAGTGCTGAGAGTAAAAATAAGTGACGTCATAACACCAACTTACGAGAAGGTTATAGAAGACGAAGGTTTGCCAGTTCCCGCTTGTCCGACTAAGGCGAAAGGAAACCTCATTATACGTTTCCAAATAGAGTTTCCAGAGTATTTGTCTAAGCGAACGAAAAAAGCTTTCGCAGATGCATTCAGGTTCAAAGAAAAGGAGGACGAGAAGTTTGAGAAGTTGAAATGTGGCACATTATCAGAGCCATCTATTTTCAATTAATATTATTCTATGAAGATAAAATAATTCTAATCTATAACTTCACGATCTTTTTCTTTAGTGTATCAATTCGTACTGTACTAATTTTGCAATATTTTGATAGTGAAAATTAAAATGAATCGGTAGTGTGCAAACAGTATTTTAATAAGTGTCCGAGGGTATATTTTTCAGACAGGACTTAGTCCTGTCTCAGATCTAAATGCACCGTTCATTATTTTTCGTTTCTCTCACATGTGTTTTTTGCCGCGTTTACTTTATTTAACGGTTTTACAATCCTACCTTCAGGTCGGTGGGATTGTAGAAACTCTTGCTGCACAGTGAGCAGGTGTATGGACGTTCACCGCGGTGACGTGCCATGTGCGAGCGCAGCGCGTAACCGCTGAAGAAACGTTTCTCGCACACTGTGCACTGGTGTGTCTTCTGTTCGAAGTGAGTTTGTCTGTGTCTGACAATATCAATTAAATTAATAAATATTTCTATTCAAATTATATTTATTAGATGCCCTTAATTGTACATCAAAATGTCTTTCCACGATTTACTTTGAATATGGTAGGGTAAAAAATTAATAGAACAAGATGAAATCACTTATTAGAGATATTTTTTCTAACAACTTACCTATAAAGCAAAGTCTTGGTAGTGAATGTCCGTTGGCAAACAGAGCAGGTAGGCTGCTTCGGGGGCCGCTGCTCGTGTGTTCGCATATGCATTTTCAACATGCCGGGCCCCTGTTCATGACATAAACTTCATTGCAAACAAGGATGACAACAGTTTTAACCATTTTGAGATTTCAGTCAACCATCTTTGCTTAATAAAATTCAAATTTAAAAAAAATACGTACAAGTTTTTCTGATTGATCTGATTTTTTTAATCAGTATTAACTTTACATTAATTTAATATTTTCTACTCTGTTTATTGGAGCAATTTATTGCTCGTCACTGCAGCCAAGTATGAATGCAATTTAAATTCTTTATTATTTCCAAATACTTATCCTAAGATCATGCATCGGCACAACAAGCAGATGTCGCTCTCGAAAATTATAATTCATTATGAAGTTTACGTGAAAATAGGTCACAAACTGTATAGGTACCTACCTATCACCACAGAACAGAAGGAGGGAGGGCTCACGTTGATAAAACAAAGTCTCTACGTCCATGTATGTAGTATCGTTTTTAAGTCAAAGATTACGAATATACTTTTTTGTAGTATTCACTTGTCTTAAATCCCGTATCTATAGTCGAGTAAAAGTAATTACTTAAGCAAATTTTATTTAACAAATAAACAAAAATTTTAATAAAGTAAGAACTGGTAATAGTAAGAATACTATTATTATTAGCTATTAAAATTTCTTATTTCATTAAAGTCAAAGTCAAAATAATCTTTATTCAAATAGACTTCTTAAAAGTACTTTTGAATCCTCCAACATTTTTTTTCCCTACCACTCGTTCAGGACGTCTTTTGGCTGATAAGAAGAACGAGCTAGAAACTCACCAGCTCTAATAAGAGTAATGACATTTACAAAAACCATGTCATTACCAGATTTAAATTCTATTGGTTAAAAATATCTGCTAAGTTATATCATTTCCTGAAGTACCTATTGCTTATTTTGATTAAGAGACTAGATACGAATGTAGATGGTGGTAAAAGAATGGCGACTATAGTTCTTTCTTCTATATACCAATACCCACCTTAAAAGTTCTGTCGCAAATCGGGCACATGGGCGGTTTCTTGCAGTTGGCTTTGATCCAATTAGTATGAGACCTCATGTGTTGCTTCAACCAGCGCGAATGCTTGAACTCCTTATGACAAAGGTTGCACACATGCCTCCCCGGCGACACTGAGGAGGTCGCTTGGAAGACCACCATTTGGAGGTAACTTTCTTCATCTGAATTTAGAGGTTCGTCATCTTTGATAACAGGTGTTGGTTGTTCTACCTAGGGCAGAAAATTGGTTTATCTGTCATGTATCGATTTAATTGAGGAGCTAAGTCATACGATCAAATAAATATAAGCTTCGGATATTTCATCTTGCCTTTCAATGAGTTTAATAGTGAAGATTTGTAATTTTTGTTTTTTATCTCTATAATTTTTTTATGTATTTTTTCACTTCTTTCTTTTGTTTTCACGCAGTTGGGTTTTTGTTTTTTATAATATATTTTATTTGCATGATGTTGATATTAGACCTTATAATACCTACAATTAGGTTGGACGTATGAAACCTTATTATAAAACGAGGATTAAAATGAGTACCTTGGTTTAACTTTGTTTAAATCATCGACCGCTTAAAGCAAATTGACAGTGACCGAAAAGAAAACGTCAAATAGGGACGTGTTGACTTATTTTGATCGGATAGTGGTAGTCCTTTTATAAAAACAGTGTATGAGACACAAAAGCTAAGATGCAACTTACAACAACTCCGTCTTTAAAAGAGTCACTGAAAAATTACGTTTCAATAGTAGATATTCATACTTATTATGTTAAGATTTATTTAAAATATACAATTAAATATCTATCCATGAATCTAAGGGTTCCAACAATGAAATGGAAAAGATTCATTGGTCATTAAATATTTTATTTGTTGTAGATGTGAATGTGTTTAAAATTATTATGTAGAGAATAGTAACAATGAAGATAACAAATAATTTTATGTAACGTCACAGTGTATAAATATCTAATATGGAGATATAATTATTTTTTAAAGACTTTTAGGTTGTCGACCCCTGACCTAGGTACAGTGAATTGCACGTGAGACCATACAAAACTGAATTTGAATTCATATGGTAACCTGACGTATAACCGTGTTTACATAAAATTAATACTTACAAACGTCTTTTCACCGGCGAAGTCTTCCTTAGGTTGTTCCTGTCCGACTTGTGTTTCCGCGAAGAAGTTGTCAAGTATTTGACTGGGGTTGGACGCTAAAGGCAGTTCCACGTATTGGAAACACGGCTCCGAGCAGTTCTGAAGGTTCAGCAGCTTCTGCTTCTGTTGGTGAATTTCGAATAATCATAAAACACACTTAATTACATTACACTTTTGTCTTTGGGTTTTCAGGATTTAAATATGTATGTCATTTAAATATCACGTCCTTTTGGAATTATATACGATCGCATAAGGGTAGCCGTAGTTCTCAAAATATTATTAAGGATGAGATGGTTTTATCAGAGGAAGAATGTGTTATGGAATTTGCGAATTATTTTCATTCTGTGTACAGCGGGAAACGGGATCAACTAGATATAAATAGTTATTTATTTATAATAAATGCTTAGAGGAAGGGTTTTTTTCCAAATATGTGGAAAATTACTCGTGTGGTTCCTATTCCTAAAGCAAATTTAGGTCATCCATAGATGAGTATAGGCCGGTAGGTGTATTATCGGTAGTGCCAAAAGCTTTCGAAGCAATATTACAAAGAAATATATTTGAACAAGTGAGTGCACAACTCTCAGAGGCACAGCATGTGTTCCGTCCAGGTCGAAGTACCACAAGCAAGAGTAGTTGATGATAGTCGAGGATGTCGAATATTTAGACTTTCGTAAGGCCTTTGATCTAGTGGAAAATGATGTCTTGCTTAGGAAATTAGCTAGCGTTGGTTGCTCTCCCCATTTATTGAAATTCTTATCTAGCTACATGGAGGATCGACAACAATATGTTACATTTGTCGGTCATCATCATCAATCACAGCCATATTTTGTTAGATCAGGAATAAGCCAAAGGAGTAATCTGGGACCACTAGAATTTATGATTATGATTAATTATTTACCCAATGTAGTTACGAATTCAAATTGTTTATTATTTGCAGATGATCAAAAATTATATATTTCTGTAAAAAGGAAAAGGATTGCTTGAAACTTCAAAACGATATAAATAAGGTAGATTGGAGTCAAAACAATAAACTTCTATTTGATATTTCTAAGTGTCAGACAATTTCATTTACGAAAATGAATAAATCTTTCAACTCAATTAATTGGTCGTACGGTCAAACACATAGAGCAGCAGGGCGATTCTGTAAAAATCCGAACCCGAATTCGAATTCACTCATATGAAGAAATTCTATTGATCCATTTTTTTGTATAAAATACAAAAGAAAATTGATTAATTATTCGTGTCTCAGATATTCTATGGCATTTTGAAACTCATTGCACTTATGTCACCAAATGTTTTACCAAGACTCATCTTAGACTAGTCTTATGTGAACACAGAACTTGTAAAGCGTCCAAAACGTCAATAAAACTAAATACAAACGCGATGAAACCATTTAAATGTTGTATCATTATATAAATGAGCGTGAAAATATAAGAAATCAATACGTTACTACCAATTCAAGCATCCGCTCATGTCGCTTTTTGAAGTAAATTCGGACACCTAAGTAAATTCTAATTCGGGTCGGATATTTACGGAATTGCAGGGCAGCCCCGGATCTAAGACTTTGCAACTGAGGCAGAAACTTTATAGTGCGAAATTCAAATATCTATATGTATACTAAAAAAAAAAAAACACTAGATATTGTTAACCTCCTCTCTTTCGAGCTTCAGGGCAGCTTCTTCTACCATCTTCTTAACTTGGTCGCGTAATGTGGCGTCATTGCGTTCCACTAGCTCTTTAAATGCATGGCAGCGTGAGATCTGATGCACGCATTGTAGACATAGTTGCGATGGCAGCCCGTCGCCTATTGATACCTGGAGGAGTATTTTATTGCATAGGATATAAAATATATTTATTTAATCTTCATTACTTAATAAAACAGCATTTACTACCAGTCATGTATCACATAATAACTTGAAAATACACCCATTAACCAATTGAAAAAAAATGTATCACCATACATTTATATTATATATATATATTTTATAATGGTTACGAAATAAAACAAACCACTACTCACTGCCTTTAATTTTATATTAAACCAGAAGTGTTATTAATTTACTTTGGAATTTTCAACTATTGGAAAATCAATTTTTGAAAATTTTCTGTTTTATGCCAAAATATGCAACTAAAATTGAATGCACATGCTATTATGTGGCTCAAAAAAAAGGGACAATAGAGGCTATATTTTATCACGAAAAATGGCAAGTAATGTGACGAAAATGGGAATTAAAGTTTGTATGAGGAATTAAAACGCCATCATAGTAACCATTGTTTACTATTCAATTTGTCTTTGTAATTATAAATAAATAATATAAATAAATATCGAACAACATCACACACATTGAACTGATTCCGAGGTAAGTAGCTTAGGCACTTTTGTTACGGATATCAGAAACAACGGGGGAATACAAAAATATACATAATATAAATAGAAAACACCCAGACACAGAACAGACATAATTGTTAATCACAAAAATGTTTGTCCTGGGTGGGGATCGAACCCACGACTCTCGGCCCAATAGTAGGAACGCTACCACCGCGCCATTGAGCCCGTCAAGTATATACATGTCATGATACGTATCGATATCCAATTAAACAATTCCCTAGGAAAACGCGGGCGAAGCCGCGGCGGAAAGCTAGTGAAAGATTTATTTGTTTGCATCGAACTGATTTTTAAAAAAATTTCACCTACGAGTAGTTTACATAGTATACCGGCCATAGTTTACGCGGGTAACGTCACGGGAAAACAGCTAGTTTTAAATAAGAGAGTAAAAGTTACAAGTAGGTATTAGAATGTAAACATTATCACATTGGGTAGTTAGTATCTATATTTATCTCTTAATTGTAAATCAAATCATTCAGTTCATTTAAGTAAGTTTAATTAAATATAATAATAGATTTGTTTTTCAATAATAAGAAGTATAGTTAATATTTAATTAAATATTATTTTTTAAAAGAATAACACACTAAAAAATAGGTAACAAAGGATAACAGTATAAATTTTAAGCTGTCTCAGTCCTTCACAAAACAGCTACGCTTCTATCACATTTGCACTATGAGACTCCCTTAACAGGTGAGCGAGACAGGCACATCTCTCAATTTTGAGAATACGCAATGCGTCGAGGAATGTGGAGCCCAATGAATTCTAAACAAAGATAACGCGATACGACTACTGCTTATCGACACGCATCCCAGTAGGTCAACTGCATGAGAGCGAGCGAGATAACAACACATTTTCAAAATATCTTTGTATTTTACATAATATCTATCCACTCACCTGCACTTTTGATATGCCCATTAACATAGTAGCTGTGAGTTGTTCGAACAATGGTCTCATATCCTTTTTTATCTGTAGACAAGCTCGACATATTCGATCGAATTTCAAAGGTTGGGTTTTATTAAGAGCAGCCATATTGAACTACAGCTGTCTTGTTCGCTTTGTCCTTGTTTGCTGTAGCTTTAAAAAAACACTTTGTTCACAACACTTAATATAATAAGAACATTAATAACTACATAAAAAAATAAAACACTTCAACAGGAAAGTCAAATCAAAACGCTAGTAATATAATTGAATACAATATATAGCACGAAATGCAGTCGGTCTGCTCATGAAACGAACGAAAGAATGCGAGTGACGAAATGGGTGGGGTACGGAATGCGAAGCGCAGAGCAAGCGAAAAAGATTCTCTATTACGACGAGCGTGCTAAGTGGGAAAGAGATAGATAATGTTTGAAAGTGTTCAATACCAAGACCGTCGCCATAAATGAAAGAGTTGGCATGATTTCGTCAATGCGAAATAACTCGTAAAATCAAAATTAACAATTAAAATTAGCAACATTTTGCGAGTTATACTTTGATTTTTATTATTTTTTATAAATAATAGATCAAAATAATATTAAAAAACTCATTGGTGAAAATAGAGTTTTTTTTATTTTCATTTGTTTTTGTTGCTAAGAGAAATTGATTTGATATAAAAATCATAATTTTGTCAATTTATGGTAATTTGCCTATCAAAGTAAAACTGCATTTTAATATACCTAGTCAAATATAAAAGTAGGTTCTTGCAGATAATTATAGGATAGGATAAAAGCATTTTTCATAAAATAGAATCGACCTGAAATAAGTTATTTTAAAAGCGGTAAATTTTTTCAAGAACCATTGAAATCGGTCTGAGGTTTTCTGTAATTAGTTAATATTATCCTCTCGACTTCAATATTAGTCTATTTTTTAATGTTTAATGTTAGATAACAATTTGTGGTATTATTGCGCTCTTTTTAGTCATTTCTCTTTATTGCGATTTTTTTAAATTGGTTTAATTTTTATAAATTAAAAATGCGACCTATTTATCATGATATAGAACTAAGGTTGCAACCTTTCTTTATTTCTGTGGGAAGAAATTATAATGATAATTTTCTAGTACTATCATATTACATTTTATAGCCACACGACTATAAAGTTATATGTCTATTAGGATATTAAAATTTCTGTGAAGTTTATTTACATTTTGATTTTGATTATTATTTTCATGGTCCACAAAATTTCTTAGCAATTAATAAATCTACTTATCTTTTAATACAAATTATCAACTCACAGCATTTACTCTACTTTAAGCCGACAAATAGAAATGAGATTTCCATTTTAATATAATTAAAACAAAATACCTACTACTTTTAGTACTTTAGTGTAAATTACTTTGTATACTAGGTATAACCGATTCATTTTTGCGAAAATTAACAAATACAATTATTTTTGTACAATGATCCATGAAAATATTGTTTAGAGTGCTGTAAAAGATTTTATTGAACTATCATGCTGGATATGCGCTTAGTAACCAGGGATGTTAGACGGCCACTTAGAAACCCTTGTACCGAGCTGGCTGAAAGCTGGTATTCAAGGGGGGAAACTAGTACGCCTGTGCTCCGCTCTGGCGCTGCCAATTCTGGGAGACAAACTGTGGGAAATCGCATCTCAGTAAAAAAAATGCACATTTCAATTTCGTATACCGTTAAAAGAGGGCTGTAATTATCGAACACACGGAAGAAATATCACTTTTAACATATTTTTTTTCATATTATATTGCATTTCGGATATAATATGTAAAATATATTGAAAAAAAAAAATGATTTGTAACGAAGATTTACAATGATTTGAAGTTTAGGGCGCAAAAAAAAATCCCGTGCAGGAATCGAACCCGGGGCCCCGTGAACGTGAGCGCAACGCGTTACCATTACGCTATCTAACATATTGAGAAAATAACGGCGGAAAATGTTAACTGCTCATCGAGACAGCTTGATATAATAAAGTTTTATGACATTAAGGAAATCTGATTGGAATGTTTTTTACATGCATCTCTGAAATTTGTCGATTATTCTATGTTATCAGTGTATTTTTGTCGGTCAACGGCCAATCTTGGTATTTTTGCATACAATGACTGAGTAGTCTTGGTACATGGTACGTGACACTAAAAACTAGTATGTATACCAAGAAGTTGGTACGTCTGACATCATTGTTAGTAACTGAGATGCTAATGCGATAAAAATAATGAAGGCGATCGAGAGATAACTTGTCGAAATCCATGCTTAATAAACACATTTGTACCTATTGCTAAAAGCGTCGAACGCTTAAAAGTCAAAAGAGCTGCAGGATCTAATTAATATCTACATAAGTGATTTTCGATCTAAAGTGTAAAGTGTTGGGTTACCTTCTCAGATCTCACAAATGTTTGCTGGAATAGAATTTAAATTTCGCAATTGGTTTAAATAATTCCCATAAATTATTTGTTACGATTGCTTACGTCTCCACTGCAGCTGCTCAGACCCCCCTATGGATGGAATCAGATCGTAATAAACTTACCTGTTATTATTGAAAGGTTACCGTTTATTTCAGAGAAAATAAAATATATATATATAACACTAGCTGTGCCCGCGACTTCGTCTGCGTGGGAAGTATTTTGGTAGAATTCTTTTTTTCCTATGAATGCAGACGAATCGAATAAGATCAATGGGCCATAACCCACTACGCGGGCTTAATGCGTATCGGTGGGTGTTAACGTTGCTGATGCAGCCAGGACTAACGCCTTAACGTGCATTATGCCAGTGTTATGCACAGTGCTCAAGATAATAATGTTTTGGTCACCCATCCTGTAAACGGTCCTTACGAATGTTATTTTTCTATTTTTTTCTCGTCGCTCTGGTTGTTGCTTGTGTCTGAGCATTTTATTCGTACCTTTAAACGGTCCTTCTTTTGTTTCGATCTTTTTAAATTATTATTATTTGTCTAGTTGTATGCACAATCGGTTATTTATTGTTCTATTTTTCATGTAATGCTAGTTTGCCTGGAAGAAATCGCCGGCTAGCGATGAGTTTGTCGTTTCTACTTATTTATGTAAAATAAGTATTCATGTATGTCCTTGTTGTGCAGTATTTACTCTACTTATTTAACTGCAATTTAAACCGAATGCGCTAACCCACTACGCCATCGGACCCCTTATGCCTAAGCTATAATAATATTATAAAGAGGAAAGATTTGGTTGATTGTTTGTTTGTTTGTTTGCATCGAATTTGCTCCAATACTACTAGACCGATAGTTGCAGAGCGATTCCGACCTACGGGAAGCTACATCAGACGCAGATGTCATAGGCTATAATTTTGCGGCAAAGTTGTGGGAAAATAGCTAGTTCATTATACCCTGTGAAAACTTATCTGCGGTACGCCTGTGGAGTATGAAGTCAACAAGGGTTGGCGATAAACGAATCTACTTTCTGGATCTCTATTGTGCAAACTGCGAGTTCTTTAAGAGACCAAGTGCATTTCCCTATCAAAAGAAGTTTCATACTCATACCATACTGCATGTATGTAAATGCTTCAGATTCAACTTTATAGTGCATGAGCCTCGCGATGGGCAGTTAAATACGCTTCGCGTTTTTCAGGTGTCTCCCGAGACCGAGCGCTTTCTGTCTGATCTCTTTCTTTGTCTATAAAAGTCGGTCAGTACATGTCTGACGGAAGATACGTGGAGTTTTATTTATTGATATAAAAAAAATATATACATATTTTAATTTCGACTTTCCACACTCGAAGGAAATCGTCTACTAACATACTTCCGTGAGGTGCTTAACTGACCTTCTGTCAGATTTGAACGGCCCTCATCATCATCATCATCAGCCCTTTTACGTCACCAACTGCAGGAGCTCAGGCCTTCCTTATGAATGGTTAAAGAGGATGGGCCACGACCCTCCTTGCTGGCCCAATGTGGATTGGAGGATATTAACGACTGCAAATACAACCGGGACCAATCGCTTTACGTGCTTTCCGAAGCTTGGAGTTGCTTGAGATAATATTTTTTGGTCATCCATCCTGTGCCCGACCTTTGCGAAAGTTGCTTAACAACTAAAATTGCGGGCCATGGCGCTTATTCACTACGCCACCGAGCTACTCTGAACCGACCCACAGACTCGCGTAATATTATATGTGTGTTGTAACCTATGAATAAAGCATTGTTTCCAGCGAAGACTGAAAATACCAACTTTGAAGTACGTATCTACAGCAATTTGTATGTTAAAAAAAAAAGAGTATTAACATAAAAAATAGCAATAAGGGAAAAAAAATATAACTCGAGTTGTCTTTACGTCCTTAAATTCAGTTGACAATATAAGTTTTTTAACGTCGTGGAAAAACTTCTGACATTGTGTCTGTTAGGTGCCAGGTGGCAAGCAACAGGGGTGAGTAGGATTCTCCTCCGTGAACCCGACAGTGAGCTGCCCGGTGGGTCCCCAAAGGCCTACCCACCAAAACCCGTACTCTACACCTTCTCATGGGAAATGAAAACCGGCAAGCTATGGCCGAGTCACCAGGACACTCATGTATTGGATCATAGGTCCCCTTGCAGATGGAAAATTGAAGAGACTCGGGTAAATCGAGTGCCTCACCCAGACAGACGAAACCGTGCAATGCGGGAGCGGCTGCCAATCACCTCCGCTGGCCCCGTCACTTTTGGCGACCACGTCACTTCAAATTGACATAACTTTTGTATTTGTGAACCGATTGAAATAAATCTTACACTAAATGTTAACGGAAGAATGCCGCAATATAATAGTGAAAACTGTATTTAAATCGGTTCAGCCGTTTCTGCGATTATCGTGCACAAACGCACAGACAAACAGACAAACCGACAAACAGATAAACAGACAAAAAATTTAAAAATCATTATTTTGTGTTCTATTACTTTTATAAATGTCCCTCATAACAGTTTTTTTCATATATCTTCAATGTACGGACATCGATCGGTTACGTTTTTATTATAGTATACATAGATTACTGTAAAGGTATTTCAAAACTTACTTTTTTTGCGTCTGTCTTTCTTTTCTTCGCTTTAAATTTATTATCGAATATACTGTTTTAAATAAAAATACAAATAATTACGCTTCAAATTTAGATTAAAAAAATATTGTGTTGTCTCACTTAAAAATTTTTAGTATGCAATTTGCCCAATACCACTTTACTTAATGATTATGTTTTTTGATTCTTTTTGAGGATTCATTTATTCGGAAAACTAGATCTAGTGGCCGGGTCTGGTGATTACTTATTTCCTCAGAATAACTGCGTACAGCCGGCCAGTCTAATATAAGTATTCTATTGACACCCGATAAAGCGTTATAGTAGGCACGGATGTGTACGTACAATTTCTTTCGATCGGGGCAAAAAATTGATATTTCGCCCTTACACCCGTTTCCCCTAGGGAGTCTATGAACTTTTTAACTATATTATCTTAATTTTAACGCCTTTCTGATACTGGCGCCCAGGGCAAGGGCCACCACTTGCCACGCCTAGATTTAACGTTATAGTCCCGCTCACATTTCAGCGGTGTAAATAATTTCAAATGCATCAATACTTTTGACACTTCATTGTTGAGGTTTCAATTAATTTAACTATTACAATACATGGGGCATGTGTAACGTTTTACAGGTCAATGAGGAAGTATTAAAAAAAAAATTGTTCCCGAAATCAAACTAGATGTCACTACAGTATTTTCTTGATTTCTCCATGACAACCCTTCCTGTTTTCTTTCATGTATAAAAGTAAATTTGTTTTCACTCAATAAACAACTCGTGTTCTATTTCTACTTTTTCCTATTTATATTAATATGTAAGTTTCGAACTTTGCGAATTTCAGTTTTTTAATATGTTAGTTAAAAGGAACGGAAATCTTTAATCTACGAGTACCTTTAGGCCAATGTTTTGAAGTGCTATTTTAGAGTTTTTTTTTTTTCTTAAATACTTCCTCATTTCGACTGTGAAGCAAATTACACATAACTCTAATTTAACACTGAATTTAACTAGTGATTTTATATGTTAAAAATTCATTGGAACAGAAAATTTTGAAATATTACTAGTATTCTTAATGAAAAACGCTTAAAAAATCAATTAGCATTTTTTATTAAAAATATTTATCAATATAGCATTGTGAATGCAAAATTGATCAAATATTATGTTAATAATAAAATTCGTTTCTTTTAAGACTAAATTCGTAGCAAACTATTTAGGTCAACTGTTTATCTGGCCGGTTAGCCACTTAATTGAATGGCGCCGTTTAATAGCTTGCCTAGTTTTCTAGTTGAATCATTATGAAATTTGGATCGTTCAACAAAACAGCTAATTTAAATGCCGCCAAAACGTTCATAACGTTTTGTTATCTGTTAAAAAAATTACCTATCACAGGATTAACAGGACCAAAATATTTCGAAGTTTATGATTTTTGTTGTTATTAACCATTGTAGCACCAAACTTCTAAATAAATAAATCGAGGTCAAACATTTTGCTTACTCTGGTTTTCGATAGATGGCGCTGTGGCCGTCTGAATCGCGGATTGTATTATATTATTAAGAACTTCTTGTGCAAGTTATTGGTGTGTACAAACAAGAGCATCTTGTATTGCATTATAAGGGACTATGAAAGCAATTTGTTATCCTTTTTGTTTGTAGCTGCATTAATTACAGATCTTTAACAAAGAGTTTTTAAGTTGTATTTAAAATCACCCACTCTATATTATTTTTCTTTCAATACTACAAATTAATTTCGGTAATGCCAATGAATTGACAATTAATTATTCGGTTGACCTTTGTTAAGCCGTACTGTAGTGTAGAACGTTGCATTCAGCAGTGAGCTCTCAGATTTTATTTTAGCCCGTTAATTGAATGGCACCCTTCAATTATAGGATTGCAAGCCGCCTAATTGGATGGCTGTTTAACCACTAGGCTGAGACATATCCATTTTAGGATTTTAGTGTCGAACCTAGTTTTAATTGTAGAAGAAGCTTTAAGTTTTACTCGTGAATCCAGCCGGATTGCAGATTATAATCTATAATAGTGCTATTACTGCTTGTTTTGTAAAACTTAAGTATCAATTCTCACATCGTTAAATTGTTTCTATAAACCACTTGATAAACATTTAAAATAGTATTAAATCTTTTTAAGAGTTGAAACATAATGATTTATTTCTGGTCTAATCCTCATAATGGAATATAATGAACTTTGTTAATTATTTTATAAATGATTAATCTGTACTATTGAAATTGAGTAGTATGAGAAATCGATTCTATGATTTATCGTTATTCACCTCCCTATTGTCAAATGTAATGTCAATCTGTGTTGATAATTATCAATTTGTTTTTGACAAATTGTTTTTTAATAAAGTTCATTCAGAAAGCATTTGGTTTTTTGTTGTATTGGTGTAAATATTATAACATTATTTTTAACACAATGTCTACTACAAACGGATCTTCTTGGGAAGGTTAGAAATATCTTTAATACTTTTATACTGGGGCAGGTTGTGACGTTGCATTTTCACATTCAATATATTTTTATATCAGATGAAATTTACAATACATTGGTGCTTCGATAACAACATGTGTATTGCTAATTGTTACCTGTGAATGTTCTTTCCATAATAGTACTATAGTTATTGTACAAGGTGTAATGTCGAAAGAACTATTCATATTGGTTTATCTTTACTTTTCCCACTGTAAAATGAGTTATACTCCGACTATAAAATGAGAGAAAAAATAGTTTCAGTATTTTTGAATCATAAAGTTTTCTAAGTAAAATAATCTTAAATTTTTGAAATACATTTCAAGTCTTATTTTCCATCTCTAAAGTAAAGAATATAAGAATATAGTTGCTAAATAAAGAATATAATTTACAGAGCTTAGAAAGCAGGCTCGTCTACTAGAAAATGACATAGATATGAAACTGGTTGCATTCAGTAAGTTGAGCATCAGCTCACCACCCTCTGGTCTCAGTTCCGAGAGCATGCCACTTATCAACAGTGAAGACATGTTCGACACAATGTCAATGGAATTGCAACAGTTATTGAATAAGGTAAGTAAATGATAAGTATGAAAGTGTTTTTCAAGTAACACTTTCATACTTCTCAGGTATGATGATGACGACATGTGTCAACATGAATTGTCTTATTACATTGGTTCCTGAGTATTCCTAATTAATTCCATGAGAACCTAATGAGTAATCTTTAAATTTTGCTCAAATTTTGTCAATGCATAGCAGTTCATGTAGTTCTTTAAGCATTCAAAGACAATTTTACAATTAATATCTAACAACATAGTCATATACTGGTTGCTAGTATGTCTACTAGGATGGGCCAACTACTACTATATGTAAAATAAGTAAATAAACATTTTTGTTTTTTTTTGATATTTCGTCAAAATATATGTAATTATATTTTGTTTGTTTATCATTTGTCAAAAGTAATGATTAAGTTGACAGACAACCTTTTTTGTATAATACATATATATTATTTTGGCAATTTATAAAATCATGATATGTGTGTGTCCATAAGTAACAAATACATGATTATTTTCTATTGGACATACGTATTCATTTATTATTAAACTCGCATAGATCAAATGCATATGGTTTAAAAGATTTATGGAATAAAGTTCAAACTTTAAGTTTCAATTAAAATTATATTTTCAGCTTTCTGCAATCAATGATAAAATGGCAGATGTAGCACCAGCTGGCACTGCCACTATGCACACTATCAAAAGGCACAGAGAAATACTTATGGTGAGTATTAGGTGTCTGAATATCAACAGTTTTGCTATTGTAAACTGCCCCTTATAAGTATTAATGATGTTATAAGATCAGTGGTCAGCATCAGGCAGACTGTTGTTCTGTATTATTAAATATTAATAAACCTAAATATTATGTTTATGTATATTTTATTTTACATAAGTAAAAAATGTACAGACTGTGGTAGATTATGAATTTCATATGATCAAAAGGCACAGAGAAATACTTATGGTGAGTATTAGGTGTCTGAATATCAACAGTTTTGCTATTGTAAACTGCCCCTTATAAGTATTAATGATGTTATAAGATCAGTGGTCAGCATCAGGCAGACTGCTGTTCTGTATTATTAAATATTAATAAACCTAAATATTATGTTTATATATATTTTATTTTACATAAGTAAAAAATGTACAGACTGTGGTAGATTATGAATTTCATATGATAGATCCATGCTAATGATTTTAATCTAAATGAGTTGTTTTTGTTTGCAAAAGTAACAGTTATTGTATTTGAATTGTGCCTGAAATGTATATTTTTTATGAAATTGTTCCTGAAACTTGAATAACAATTTTCTGATCATATCTACATACTGGTATATAATTAACGCAGGACTATCAGCAAGAATTCTCCAAAACATCGGCGCGAGTGAGCGCGCGTCGCGAACGAGAAGAGTTGCTGCGTGGGAGCAGCCCCACGCCCGTTGCCGGTCTAAGTCGACGTGACCAATACGCCAAGGAAGCTAATCATCTACACAGGTGCAGTCAAGAGTATATCAGATACAGAACTGTCAAATTTCTCCATTACATTTTATTTTAAACTTTATTGCATTGGTATATAGAGTTCAAAATCAATGGAGGAAATATGACATATTCAGGTAGCTTGACATGCAAGTCTGCTGCTACTAAAACCGAACCATTGCATAATGATAATCCACTGTTTATACCAATGAATAATATAAAGAATAGGGATGATGACTAATTTTTGTTTGTTTGTCCGTCAGGTAGAGTGTTAAAAAATATTACATGTATTTTTTTATTTTTTTCGTAATCATAAAATTACGGCGTTACATGGAGTTGAAATTTCGCATGACGTCACGTTAGGGTACGTTTTCTACTCAACTATGACGTAGCGAGCGAGGAGTGGGGTCCTCAACTTTAAAGCCTGTTATAAAAAAATACGTATCTAATATTTTTCTATTATCTGACTGACGGACTAAATAGAATTGCATTTTTTTACCCAGTCATCATCCCTATTGATGTTGATAGTTTTGTTTTGTTACATAATAAAAATGAAATAATAGTAATAAGAGTCCCTTGAGAATTCTTGTGTATGCATTTGATAATTCTGTTTTTCCTCTTATCCTGTAAAGATTACTCTGCATTGATGCAGAGTAGTGATATTCAAAGTGAGGATAGGACCACTGACTGAAACAATAAGCCACAATGACAACAAACAATCAGTGTGCGTGTAGCCCATTTAAAAAAAAATCTCATAGGTAAACATTTAATTCGTACATGTCCATGATGTTAGTAATAATCTACTTATTACGTACTATGTTAGTATAATATTAAAATGACTGAGATTGGTTTGTGTCTTTGATGAGATGAGACACATCTCCAGTGTCGCATATTGTCACTGTCCAGTTTTCTATGTCCAGTCCCTCTAATAGATATTACTGTTAAGATAGTTTTAAATCTCTCACTCACAATAATTCAAAAGGCAACAAATTAGTTTTTCTTTCTCCTGACAATTTATATTTTTTCTCTCAGTTGTTTTTGCAGTCAATATTATCATTTGTGTTGATATACACATACATATTTGTATTGAACCCGTCCATAAAGCGATTATGGTCCTTCGAGCTAGACATTCTCATAAGATATAGCAAATATTTGTTCTAGTTCTCACATCTTGGTTGACGAACAAATAAATATAGCGATGGAGGCTCGTGAGCACCTTACTACGCAACGACAGACGTTCAAACGTATCCAGACAAGATTCAATGATATCACAAACAGGTAACCCATTAACAGTATTTATTATACTTATGCCTGTTTACACTAATCTTAGGTGTAGTCCAAATCTGTCGCCTAAATATTTGGGAATCACATAAGGTGAAAATGCATTTGTCCAATGTCTAAGTGGTGGTAGGTGGTTACCTAATGACATTATGCAATATCTAAAGCATGCGTTATGTGGCACCTTGCGCTAGACATGTAATATCAAATGTGATAAGGGATAAAAGAAAATAATGTTTATTTGGAATTTAACTAATCTGCTTAGGCGATTCGCAATATTTTGCGATACGCTTTACAGTTTTTGTTGTCTCTGGACAAACATTATTTTATCACACATCTCATTTTAGTTACTTTAATACAGAAGCTTGAACGAGTTTATATAGCGAAATTTATAAATTCTTACTGATTAATTTTTCTTGTACAGACGTTGAAGAAGATAAAAATAGCAGTTTGTAGTATACTCATTGATTAATAATTCACTCTTTCTAATGGACAAAAATTATAAACTTAAAAAATATATTAAACCATTGTCAATTTATTTTTCTCTAAAAGTTTTATTAAATAACAGAACAAAATATTTATATTAATGACTTTAAATTGTCTCGCGAAAATAATCAGTCACTTTACGTTTCGAGCGACGTCATATCTCAATAAACATGAGTACTAGTTGTACTCATAACAAAGACGATGACGTAAAGTTTATAAAAAAGTGCCGTTACACGATGCTCCGTCATATCCGCCAGCGTTTCGGTTCTTGTAATCCATAGATTATAAATAGCAAGTTAATTACCCGACTGCAAAGGAAGGAATGTTATGTTTTTCTCGCGTATCTTGTATGTATACAATTATAGTGTTTTTTGTCTTCTTTTTTTCAAAATAAAATATAATTACAATCTATTTTAGAACAACAAATATTACAGGAGTATTTTTGACATATAAGTTATCATTTCCAAGATGTTATTACATAATTATTTCTTATTTCTCTTGTGTTAGCTTATTTAGTTTCTATTGGTTTCCTATTTAGTTGGTCGTTGTTGTAACTGCTGGCTTCATTAAAATATCAATTAAACACTAAAACATAATTTGTTTTATAACTGGTTTTTTATACTATATATTATTAAATAAATATCTATTCTATGTTATCAGGTTTCCGCTGTTGAATAGTTTGATGTACAGAATAAACGCAAGAAAACGTCGCGATTCTCTCATTTTGGGCATCGTGGTAGCTGTCTGCACATTCCTTTTACTGCTCTACGCGTTCCACTGAATATCTTATCTTAATGTTATATAAAAACGATTCAATTAAAACCCAGAGAATTGTTTAAGCGGAATAGTAATAGATATCACTTTCAATTAACAAGTTGACTGGTGTACATTGTATGTTATATTTTAATAAAGTAAGATTTTTAGGAGAGTTCAGGAATTAACCACTTCTCTAGCCATGGTTTTTTTGAGTGTTATGACGATATTTCGTTTCATTTTACTTATTCGACATGTCTTTTTGGAGGATAAACGACAGTTGGCAATACTGCTGTCCAATCTATAATCATCCGTTCTTATTCGTTCGTCGTTATTAAAGTACATCTCAAAGTAATTAAACGAAATATTACCATTACATCGCTGATATCGGATCCTTTGGTGAAAGTCATGGCTAGAGTAAAGCGGTCGCACCCGAGATGTGAATAATAGTCTAAAACAAATTATTGAGTAAATTGCATTTATATAATTTGGAATGTTGCCTCCGCAAGCGTTGCCCAACCATGACGTCAAATTCAAACGTTGATAGTGTTTTTGGTACTTGTAGGATTGCAAGTGCTTGTAGAAGATTCGATCAACTGTTTTTTTTCGCAAATCAAAAGGGATTTGGCGCAAGCTTTTGTGACGCTTTCACGTTGTTAGAGGTTTGAACTTTGCGGCAAATGTCAAGCGGGCGGAGGTAGCATGTAATGATATCAGAATTGACAGGCGCGATAAACTATGTTACAGTCGGAAAATCTTAGTCGGACTGATTTATAAGGTTTAACAAGGCGTATTCAGCTGTAACGTACTTACTGGTACTATAAAATAAAAAATATTATTTTTGTTAGAGACGTGATATTTATTTTATTATATATTTATATACGTGATATTTATTTTATTTTATAGTACTAATGAGTACGTTACAGCTGAATACGTCTTGTTTAACCTTATAAATAAGTCTGCACCGAAAGAATTTTCGGCATAAAATTAATGTAAATGTTGCCAGATAAATTAATATCAGTCTATTACAGTAAACTTAAAAAAATTGTGCAGAGCTTGACGAGGTATTTATTTTCTGTTCTTCATTGAGTGAATACGAAGAAAGTTGAATACTTTAAAGGTACAGGGAGATACCTCCGAGGACAGTAAGATGTTTATAATGAGGTCTTCTATTTTTTTTTAAGTCCTCGTGTCTCTCTGTACGGCAATGCCTTTCCTTTCTCTTGGATTTTGAAACGAAGTCTTTGGCTCTAATTTTTCAGTTCATAATACACAACACTGCAAATACATAATACGCGTTCTAGTCCCGGAAACTACGTAACTTGGTTACTTGTCCTCATTTAGTAACGGAATTTTTCAAGCTTAAAAAAATGTTTTGTAATTATCCTCGTGACAATTTAATTTCATATTTTTAGTAGCACTACGTCAATATAAATAAAATACAAATCAACAGGTCTATTACGTTAATGCAATCGAAGGCGTTATTTTTGTTCAAATGAATATTCTTCTTATTTTTCAAGCAATATTGTTAATTATTAAAATGTTATATTAATTAGTAAGGTACACTTGTGATAGTTAACTAGGACTACTTTTATGTATGTAAAAATGTATTTGGATATGTAATGTAAATATTATTAACAGTATCCATATGAAAATAAAGCAAAAATATTTATTTAATCATCTTTTTTATTATTATTTTTACATGCAGTTTGGTAAGTGTTTAAGTTAAGAATAGATGTCGCTAGAGTTAAGATTCCATGTTTTTAATGTAAACGTTCCCATACGTTTATACTAGACAACATTACATCATTGAATTGCAGATAACTGTGGGTCTACAGTGTACACCCATCGTTATTATACTCGCGTCTAATCAATCCCAGGATATCAGAGATGGCAAGATTTTAAAACAGGCATATTAGCCACTACATTTTTAACTATTATTTTGTTTATTTGGTAAAAAGTAAAGGTTTCAAAGGAATATCTACATTAAATTATAATATTAGTCATCTATTGACATTGAAAAATATTGCCATATTTAATCCTACCTAAGGGTCGTGCCAGACTAAAGTAACAGAGACGCGAAGAGCTACTAGTTGCCGCGCGGGGCTTTCAGGAAGGCATCATAAATATACTACCGTTTTACTAAACGCCCTCCCTCTGATAATGTATTACGTTAAAATCTAAGGTAAAAAGGATTAAAAATAATCGTCATATTTTCCTTTAGATTAAAGGTAAGTACATATAATCTTTCTGCTATTAATAAAATCTATCGCCCCTCCGTCAGAGATATACACCGGTCGCCGTAAAATGACCCGGCACTACATCTTTTTCACTTGTGCGCAAACACATTGCTATTGCACTCACACAGATGCGTCTTAAATTTGTCATAGTAAAGTGAACCTAAAATGTCTACGATATCTATCAGTATGCACAAAGGTCGACGTATGAAATTTTCTCTGTTCGGCGACCGGGCTATAGTCCCCATACTAAATCATATTACGTTTATAAACGGATGGCGCCTAACTGCTCATGTAGTTTCTTTACTAACTACTAGAATAACGAGGAGCGCGCATCATCGCAGTTAGGTTGCTTGAAGGACTGTTGAAGTGGTCTTCTAATATATAATAAACCGTTGCCATCTAAGTCTGTCTCCGCCCTAAAATTTAGATGTCAACGCCCGGTTTACGCTATGGTGTGCTAGAGCACACTGATGTGATGAATATGTACATTTAAGATTTAATTTTACAATTAGACAATTTTATTACTTGTAACGGGGAGCATATCGTGATTAGCATGAAATAGACGTATACTAGTTTATAGGGGAAGTCCGGGCAAAGCGGACATCTTAAGGTTTGAAAGACTATGGAATGTGATCTACTAGACATAGAAATAAAATAGTGACGGAATATGAATCAGTCTTTATTAAAGTTTAAAAGAAATCAACAAACAAAAACGTAACTTAATAACTTTTCTTAAAAAAATTGATTAAATTGCATCCTTCGCTTCTATCCGTTTTGCCCAACCCATCGGGTAAAGTGGATAGAACCAAAGGGCAAAGTGAACACAATCAGACTAGGAACAATTACGAATAAAATATATAGTAAAGATAACAAAAAAACAAAAAAGTAACTAATCACTTATCAGTACAGTTATCACAAAGAAAAATGCCCTTTCCCTCATATGCCGTGCATTTCTCGTGGCTCCATTTCTTGCAGGAACTGCATTGGATCCAATCATCAACTGGCTGCCCATTAACTTCAACATAATTTTCCCCACAAAAATAGCACGTGCAGTTTTCGTCATTTTCTTTAGTTTCAAATTTCTTAAGTTTAGTGTTTCTCGCTTCAATATTTTTGGTTATGTTGGTCTTTTTCTTCGGTCTAGTCTTTGTTTTTAAATTTTTGTTAATATTTTTTAATGCTTTGGTATTTGCTTTAACAAATTTAACTTTCTGTTCTCCCTTAACCGGTGTGCTAGTAAGCACCTCAGACCTTTGAATATATCTTTTTCGTGTTCCCATGGGAACGTAAGGACTTGGAAGTGGTCTTATTTCTCTTGGACTCAAATAAGCGGCAGGTGAAGTCTGATATATTGCAGGTTTTTATTTGAAAGTAAAGTCGAAGTACTCATTAAATCTGTAGCACTGATCTCTGCTTTGCTGAATGTTAGAAGTAAAATATCTAGTAGGGCTTTTAGAGATTTTAAATGGATCTTCTTGATTTACTTCTGGAATTATTGTTGGCGATACTCCTCCAGGCTCGCTAATTCCGGGATAAAAGACAGACTAACGCCGAATCATTCGTTTCTCTCATTGTTGAGGTATGAACTTGAACTGTTACACAAATAGGTCCAGCAGGTTCGACCTCTTCGTCACTAAAATCATGATCGTAAATTTCCGAAGCTTTATTTGGTCCAGATGAACATTGAAACTCTGACGTCGTAGGCACCGCGCCATGGTCTACCGTTGCAGTTAACACATCTCGATTAGTTGTTTCATGAAATGCTGCTTTTGTATTTGCGGTATTAGGTTTCATCATTATTGTAGAGGATGGTGCATAATCCTCATCTTCCCATATATCCATATTAATTGGCCAAATTCCTGGAGATTGAAACCCTTTAATGGCATTATTGGCAGTAGCACTTTTTAAATATGCTGGAGTAAATAAACGAGCCACATCATTACTGGGCAAAGTGGATACCATATCCACTTTGCCCGTGTTCGCTTTGTGCGACAGGTACTTTTTGAACGAAAACTAACCTACAATCAAATCCAGACACAATAACTTAATGAATATCGCAGTAATTCGACAAGAAAACATGCGCTTTACGTCAATAATGATTCCAAAAGAGTAACACTATAGGCACAATAGTAATAATTAAAAGACGTACCATAAAATATCGTAACATATTATGATATTATTATTTTTCGCCTTTTTTTCACAAACGACGCGCGACCTTGCGTTTGCTCTGCTTGTTTACGACTGAGGAGAGGGGGGCGGACCTCATGGCAAGCTACGGACTTGCACGAACACGCCATTTTGAAATAATGTGAGGTATTCACTTTGCCTGACCTATTCGCGTTGCCGGACTTCCCCTAATACACCATATCGATTAATTAGTATTGATTGATGCAACGAATAGAGCTTTACCGAATATGAATACAAATACTTCTACAAGGTAATACTTATATCGACACTGGAAAGCAAACACGTAGTAACCTGCAAAACCAAAATGGATATTTAGAGTGGAAAATCTTTTACGTATATTCCAAAAAATATGTATCTTATTTCCTTATAAATTGACTAAGGAACACTTTATTTGTTACCATGGACGTTTATAGGAATTATTTATCGAAAAATAAAAACAAAAGTTTTCTGCTCTGAAGAACAATTTTGGTTTTGCGGGTTCCAACGTGTTTGCTTTCCAGCGTCGATATACACAGTATGCGTCAAGTTAGCAGATCTGCAAACGAATTTGAGGGATTTATTTATTTCATAAAACTGATTAAATAATGACAAATATAATTAGTGACAGTGTAAATTAAAAGATATTCATGATGTTAAGATGCATAAATTGATGGAACGACAAGATCTTTTTAAGAGATCCATTAATGAAAAAAAATGGGTTATACGGGTGTAGAAAGTAAACGACAATTCATAAATTTTTTCCTTGTAGTATTTAATATACTATTACTCATAACCAAACTTTTAAGCTTATTATATTAGGTTAGGGGAAAAATCTTTTCACATATAAATAAAGAGAAAAAAAATATATATGCGTAAACTTGTAATAAAATGTTCCTGGCTATACCATTTGTATCTGGCTAGTTTCAGTATCATTAAAAAGTTTAAATTTTAAAGAAGATAACTTCAAATTAGAAAAATGTGTGATTTTTATTTGTTTTTCTTACTGTCAAAATAAGTGAACTTAATAAAGAAATTCGTTACATATAATTCTTTTTTACAAGAAAAGATAAAAATGCATCACCAGCAATTTTATTACCGAGGACTTTCAAAACCACTTGTCGCGCTTTTTTGATCAAAGCTCCGAAATTTCTATAGCAATCGGATTTTGTCTCTAACTACAACATGGCAAAAAGTTATTGAACAAAATGGTACCTACTTTACTTAAATGTATATAAACTTTATTAAAATGTTTTGAATTTTCATATAAAATGCACAATTTTTTTTCCCCAGTCTATTAATATTGCTTAAATTCATAATGAAA